TTTATTATTATTTTTTAATTTTATAAATATAGATAAATTAATTTTTTATACAATTAGTAATAGGTTTTGGATTAAAATAAAATAAATATAAAAAGTAAATGATTTCACCAATAATATTTATGTAAATAAATGAAAAAAAAATAATGAATATAGAATTTAAAAATAATTATATATTTTTATTAAATATAATTTTTTTTTTTTAGAAAAAAAGAAGCTTATTTTTACAAATGGAATTCATAATTATGTATAAAAGTTAAGTGGAAAGTACAGTAGGGCCATGTAATGGAATTAGTGGAAAAGGGCTGTCCACCTTCCCAGCGCATCAATGGTTGGCGTTGGCAGCTGTCGGTGCGCCAACTCACGTGTAAATGTGTACACACGTCACTTTCCTCTAAATATTCCATGAATAAAATATAATTATTTTTTTTATAATAAATTTTATACATAATAAATAATAATAATTATTATTATTACTTTCTCCGCCCATTAAAATTAGTTTATTTGAGATTGCATGAAAATGAAGATAAATGAATATTTTATTGAAAAAGTGATAGATAGTTTGGAATATTTTTGAAAATTTAGTTAAAAGTAAAGTAAAAGAAGTGAGAGAATATAATAAAATTATAGGTATTTGCTGTAAATAAGTGTTAAATGAAGAGTAATAATTAAATATTGATTTGTTGACTTTGCCAAAATTAGTAACGAGATAAATTTAATGAACAAACTAAAAATAAAAATAAAAATAAATTTGGCTACTTTGTAGCATCGGTGAATTTGTGGCTATTAAAAATGACTACATGAATCAATTGACCATGCTGATTTTGTGTATATATGTTCATGATATTTGAAGATAAACTAATTATTGGATCATAATATTAAAGTAAAAAAAGATATTAAACATAATATTTCTCTAAAAAAAAATAAAGTGCAAAATAAACACACCTAAATAGATATATGATATACATATATATATATATTTGATTGATCTTTTTATTGAATCAATTTGTGTTTTAAATGGTCTAGTTATTAAAATAAATTTAGATATGAATTTTAAAATATTGAAAATCAAATATCATAATGTAATAAACATAATTACAAATATATATACTAAGTGTGTTTACTTAAGGGTGTGTTTGTTTGGGGGATTGGATTGGACTTACATTATTCATCCAATTTTTTCTCCCCAAAAATATCAAATCGAACATCTATTTTTTATTTTTTATATTATACTAAAAATCAATTTTACATTCAAAACATCACATCAATACTTATTTATATCACATCATACAACTATTTAAATTCAAATTTTTTACTATTCAAATCCCAACTCAAAATCCAAACCCCCAGACAAACCTACCTTAAAGTTCAAATTTGAATTTATTTATTTATATAAAAATAACAGTACTATATTTTGTAGAATGTCGTTAAAATGATATAATCAAAATTTGAAAATAAATTCTAAATAAACATAATTAAATAAATCCATTCATCTATTATTCAAAGTGAATTGTAGTAAGTAGGCTATTAGGTTCGGCTTGGATTTATCTGAAGTGTATTTGAATAGTAATAATTGCAGAATTTTACGTTATAAAAAATAATGAAATAAATATATATTCCAAAATAAATGTGCGCGAACTTGTGATCGTCTTGTTATGAGTTCAAATCCCTGACGCGGTCAGGTATTAAGGCTCATAATGGATCTGATTGGGTTGAGTTTTTATCATATTAAACTGAACAACTCGAAATCGACATATTTATCTAAATGGGTCAAAAAACCCGACACAAACCCGACTAACACAAAATTGACCAATTTAATAATTTTCAAATACTAAAGCTTCACAAATTAAATAATAATCAAATAATTAATTACTAAAAATATTATATTTAGGTTGAGCTCAATTTTATTTAAAAACTATTGTGTTTGGTACAGAGAAATGAGGTCAGAGAAATGAAAATGATATCATTTTTCTTGTTTGTTTGAGTCAGATAAATGAAACTTGATAAATAAATTATTTCTATTTTTTTGTTTTAATTTCTCTTCCATATGCAGAGAAATTGAGAGAAACGATGTTATAGTATATATTCTGTTGTACTATTTAATTTTTATAATTTTTTAAAAATTATATTTTTTCAATTCTACAAAAAAAAAAAAAACAATTTTAATTTATTGTTAAAGTATTTAATTTTTACGATCTTTTAAGAAATTATACTAAAATATAATCTTAAAAAATATCGTATATAATTTATAATTTTTTTAAAAAAAAACTCACCAAATTTTTTTTTATGAATTCTCATTCGTTAAAATTTTTTTTATCCGGTAATCATTTATTCTTGATTGATCATTCATATAGTTGCAATTTTTTTTTTATATTTTTCAACTGAATTATCTGTTTTACCCAAGAGAATGAATTATCATTCTTTGTTCAATTTCATTTCTTTCCAATTCCATTATATACTCTCATTTCTCTGCAATTTCATTTTTTATACCAAACGCCCTTAAATTAAAATTATTTTGCATATATAATAAATATATTAATTAATATAATATATTATAATCGAATTAGTATGTCGAGTTCGAATCGAGAACTTTAACTATAACTCGATCATTTTATTATTGTGTCGGATTTATGTGAATTTATATCTATAAATTGATTGAAATTTTTAATTCAAATTTAATTATTTCGTGACAAATTACCATATCATATCAATTTTTGTTAGTTAAATTAATTTTTGTTAGCTCTATTATAATAAGTAATATTATACTAGCTCCGTATATTTAGATTGTTTATATTTGTTTTTTTTATATTGATATTTTAATATTAATATTATTATATTAAAATACAGTAAAAATCAATACAAAAAGATAATAATACTTATGTCTTATAATACATATTCAATAATACTTATACAAAAAATAATATAAATATAATAATATTTTTAATATTAAATACAATGATACAAAATATAAATATAAATTCATTTAAGAGTGTGTTTGTTTGGGGGATTGGATTAGATTTACACTATTCATCCAATTTTTTTTCCAAAAACATCAAATCAAACACCTATTTTTTATTTTTTTTATATTATATTAAAAATCAATTTTACATTCAAAATATCACATCAACACTTATCTATATCACATCATACGACTATTCAAATTTAAAATTTTTAATGTTCAACTCCTAGTTCAAAATCCAAACCCTCACATAATTGACTAAATGAGTATAATATAAATTTTCTTAGACGCACGGCAGCCATCTCAGGAAGCCGCCAATAACTTCTCCTACAGACATATACTCCATCCGTTCCACGTAATTTGTTCTTATTTTATATTTTTGTGTTCCACATAATTTCTCCATTCCTTTTTTGAAAATATAATTATACACTTTAAACTTATTTTAAATTTTATAATTTTTTTAATTTTAATTAAACTATTTAGTTATCTCAATCTTAATTCACAATTAATTTTATTATACAATAATTATTTTATTAATACACTTCTTAATTACTTACTAATCACACTTTACTTAAATTCTCGTATCTATAGTAATAGGTCATAATAAATGAGACGGAGGGAGTAATAGCTAATCTGAGTCAGCACCTTCAATTATTATCGTTATTATTTTATTTTATTTTAAGAAAAAATGAAAGAGAGAGAATAAATTGAATAATCATGTGTAAAAACGAAATAGAAAAACTTAATTGAATTAGTCAATTAATAAAAAAATAATAAAATAAAATAGAAGGTCAAGCCAGTTGGACTAGTAAAAATTGCACGGCGTGACATTTTAGCAGGTGCGACATAGACCCTGAGTAGATGCTACAGTGATTGGCTGACAAATATAGGACTCGTGCACCTGCCTACACCTAATTTAAACCCAGTCAAACAATTACAACCTATTTTTATTCCATCCATGATCCATCGCAAATTCGTAACTATTTAATCATGCACGAGTTTTAAAAATAATAATAATAATAATTTTTTTAGATAAAAGAATTATTATTTTTTATTTACTTAAAAAAAAGGAATATTCCTTGATTTAATATTTTAAATATAAAATAAAATTTGTAATGAATAATAAAATTAAATTAAAAATTAAAATATTCTTAAATGTAGATTATACAAATTATAAATAAAATAATAAGTACAATACTTTTATAAAATAAAGAATTTGTTTGTCTAATATTTTTGTTTGAAATATTTTTTATATGAAATATGAAAAATTCTATCATAATATAAAAGTAATACTCCCTCCGTCATTCAAATTATACTCACTTTTTTTTTTGGATTGTCATAAAAAAAATATTCTCATTTTTTTAAGTAAAAAATCATTCAATTTTTGTACTTTTTTTACTTAAAAAAAAAATAACAATTATTATTCATTTTTATTAAAACTCGTGCATTGTCAAATAAGCACATATTTGAACGAAGGATGGAGTACTATTTAATCTGTCCAATATATACATTTTTATTTTAAGTTATCTAAGTTACTTATTTCATTAAATACTCTATTTTTTTTTCATAAATATATTTTATCATTACATTATTATTTTTACATAAAAAATAATAATAAAATTATTTTAAAATACTTTTAAGTATATTTATAATTATTATTAGGACGAAGGAAGAATTTTAAATTAAAATTATGATTTATTAAGAAATAATAAAATAGATATTATTTATATTATATAAATATGCATATTTATTATATTCTTTATTAATATTTATTAAAATTATATATAAATAATCTTAAATGAACAATTACGTAATATCATATTATTATTTTTTATATAAAAACTATTCTTATGAAATTTTTTTAAAAAAATAGCAAATGATATGAATTGCTGTACAAAATTATAGAATTCATTATAACTAACTTTAGTAAATAAAAAAATAAAAAAATCTTGATAATTGGAGTGTAATTAATTTGGTGCAGTGCACCGAGCACAGGCTAGTTGAAAATGACGTAATAAAAACAGAGAGACAGCAAATTCCGCGTCTTTTCGACCCTGCGTTGTTTTTATTTTTTTGTTTTGTCTGTCTTCAATTTCACTGTTCCTTTCTCTGCTTCTCCTTCTTCTTCTTCTGCGCGAGGAGGAGAAAGCAGGAACGAATTGCTATACGCGTTCATAGGAACAGAGGGAAGACGAGAGACAGGAGGAGGTTTAGAGAGAGATAACAATTCAATTAATAGAGCATACGCCAAGATGTTGGTTGCAAATAGTTTTGATTTATGGCAGAAGGACGTCTTTTTTTCTGCGGCCGAGGAGGTTCAACAATCTGCCGATATGTAAGTGCCTGCGTTCGACTTGGTTTTTTTTGGTGGTCGTATGGTTATTTTTCGTTCTTCAATTTTGGGGTTAATTCCATTGTTGTGTTGTGTTGATCTGAATTTGGTTAGGTTTTAGGGTTCGTGTTGTGCGTTTGACGCAGTTTGCCTTTGTTTTTACATGTTTATCCGCAAATTTTAATAGATTTTTTTTTCATTGTTGAAGTGTTTTAGCTGGTACGCATTTGTTGTCGTCCGATTAAACTTGGATTTTGTTTGTATTTTTCCCCGAATCAATTGGTTTTATGTTTGTGATTCTTTCTGATTAAGGCAAGGTGATTGTCAAGTAAGATGGAATTTGTGGTTTTAATGTGCAAATTTTGTAATTTTGTTCAAATTTATTGATTGAAAATGTCGGTGATTCTGTTGTTTATCGTGGCTTCGGCAGAATGGAATCAACTTACAGAAGATGGCTCAGCGCCAGAAGAGAAGGGGTAATGCCTCAACATTTAGATGAACTTGGTGGACAGCTTCAAATGGCCTTCGGCACTGCAAAATGGCAGGTCAATATTGCACTTGATCAGATTTTGTTTTTGTATATTGCTCTTTGGTTTTGCTGTTCTTGTTTATCTGATTGAGTTTCCCTTTGTTTTACCTTAGTTGGACGAATTTGAAAAGGCTGTTCAAATGAGCTATAGAGGCCGGGTAGATGATATAACAGTTAGTCGACATCGGCAATTTGTTTCTGCTATAGAAGAGCAAATTTCCGAGGTTGAAATAGCATTGAAGGAAGCATTTGAGACGGCTGGGAAGAGACCATTTCGCTGGGTGCATTTAGACGAACAAGAATGTGATGACTTAGCCCATTTTCTCTCTGGAACATCGGGTATAAGTTGCAAACCATCATTTAACCAGAACAAGAATACGGAGGAAGTTAGGTCGAAGATCCAAAAAGATCAGCAGAACTGTTTGGAAGAAGTTGTTGCAAGTAATGAAGACACCAAACCCCTCATGGAGCAAGAACAAAGAATATTGCCTGAAATTGGGGACGAAATTATCTGTGAGACAGACTGTTTAACCAGCAATAGTGGAGCTTGGAATTCGGCAGACACGTATCTGGAGATCGTTATTGATAAAGATGAAAGAAAGAAGAATTCTTTGATAGAGGCAACACCAAAGGAAAAGGGCTCCAAGCCTCCCTTCTGGAGAGCAAAAGGAGTGTCGAACTACCCTCAAATGAAATTTATCACTTCGATAAATCAGGTTTGTTTTCACAATTAGCTAACTACATTCGGAATAATGTTCATAATTGTATGTTGCATCTTGAAATGATTATGAACTGATCTTACTTATGTCTTTGAAGATTTTGTAGCCTTAAAACATTTAGGAAATTCGAATGCTAAGATAGTCCAAAGGCAGCTAACTATTAGGATCATAACGGGGAACATTTTGCATTCACATGTGAATTTAAAGACATCATTTTTATCGTGCCTGCATTTATGCAATCGTAGATACGTCTTTCTGATTTAAATACCTTGAATTTACCGAATGTTTACTCCCGGATTGCAGTTTCTGATAGGCCATAAAAACCAAAGACAGCAACATATGTCGCCGGCTGTACAAGTGAAGTCTATACGATTCATCCTTGCTCTGATGCTAACGATATTCTTTGTTGGTATGTTCTTTCCGAACTCACCATTGTCTTATACTTTGTGCTCATTTTTTGTTTAGATTCTTATTATCGACTGTTTATGCAGTGCCCTTTTTGGTATATTCGACTTGAGCCACTTCGAACACCATACGTCTTCCTCCAGAACCGAAGGCGTAAACCATTCGAGTGTTGTATACAATAGTCGTTATGGAAGTCCCAAATATATATGTAATTTGGACAGATGGTGTACAATCGAAATTTTGGTTGAATATGAGAGATCCATAAGTTCTCTAATTTTTAGTGCCCAAAGGATAGTTACCAAAACCATATTGCTTCCAAGTCAAATAAAAGAATGGATCATTAATTACATATTATATTATCAGTTATATTGACTTTAAAAAATGTTTGTTCTAGCAACCTTCAAAATCCCTTATTTCTAACGAAAATTCTACGAGAAACTTGAGAAATAAGATAGAAAGAGCCTAAGCTAAGAATGAATAATGAAATGAATAGTTACTGTGAGGTCCGTTAATAGAACTAACTCGCAAGTTAACGGCGAGGACTGTATTGGTTATATTCAGAACGGTAATGTACCAAAATAGATATATTACTTTAATTTCGGTGATGCATACTATTTACACGCATCTTAAAGGACTAAACTGAAATTTCAGAGCTCATATGCTCGCTTCCCATTTCTGCTCCCACCTGAAGTCCCTCGTCTGATCTCTGCAGCGAAGCCCACTTCTCCGATCATAGAGAAGTTAATCGATCTAGGTTTTAGTTGGTTGATCCTTCGTATACACAGGCGGAAATCGTACAAATCGAGTACCAAAATTGGTGAATTCGGCTTCCTGTAAACCTAAATCAGTTGCTGCAGATCTGAATCGGGAATCCGGATGTCGTGCTTGGCGCTGGCGCTGCAGCCCGCGAATGGGCCCGATATACTTCTGCAAACTCGTGAATGGTTCCCCCCTTTCCGGGCGTTGATGGCGCTCTCATCTTTCCGGCAGACTCGTCGTTCCTTCGCTAAGAGCCATATCCAATCGGCCGGCTCCGGTACTCCTGAATCCGATCCCTACGCCAATTCGTTGGGTGATGATCCTTTAGCAGCGTCTTCGGGGCAGGTAATTGTTGGAGTCGAGTCTCGTTACCGCGTTGTGTATCGTCTCGTTAATTCAATCTATGTTCTCGCCGTGACTACGATTGATGATTCGAATAACAATGTGTTTGAGTGCATTAATATTGTCAACCAAGCGGTTTCGGTGGTGGTTACTGCCTGCCGTGGTGTGGATGTCACACCGGAGAAATTGGGGAAGAAGTATGCAGAGATTTACATGGCGTTGGATATAATTTTGCGTGGAGTTAGTAGCATTAGGTTAGCTGCAATGCTTGCATCTATGCACGGCGAGAGCATTGCCAAAATGGTGCATTCTGCAGGCCAAACCGAGAGTCGAATTCGAGGGGCGGATAGCTGGTCAAGTGTGGAGCCTCATGTGGTTGATCATGAAGCAGGCACCGAGACATTTTCGAAGGCGCTATTTGAATTGCCTACCGAGACTCTGCAGGCAGGAGACGAGGTTGCGGCTGCGACGTTAGGACTTTTCCAGCAGGGCGAGGAGAAGGAGCCGAGTAAAGTGGAGGAAACTGAGGGAGAGAAGGATCCATTTGCGGCTAGTGATATGATTAACAAACCAGAAGAAATGCTGGTGGAAGGGTTCAAGAAGGATAAGGATTTGGGTGTTTCGGATGCAAGCAAGGCATTGGCGGGGCTTGAGGTGACGACGCTGCCCCCTGCTGCAGCTACCGAGTCTACACATATAGGTGTCGAAGGATTTGAAGGGAATTATGGTGGGATTGAGTTCAGTAACGATGGATCTACACTTCCGGAAGATTTTGAGGGTATTAATGATGCTTGGGGCGGTGGATTGGATGCATCCGAGTATGTAGGGACGAAGAAGGTTCAGAAGGATCGGGGTCTCGGTGGTTTGGAATTGTTGAACACAAGCGATCCTCCGGCTGCTGCGCCTAAAGAAGGTGGTGGTGAGAAGATTGAGGATGTGTTGGTGAAGAAGACAGAAATGAAGGGCCCTGAAATGTACGTCGTTGAAGAAATTAATGCCGAGTTTAGGGAATCATTGCTTGCACGAGTTGGTTTGATGGGGATTATCTACCTTAAAACAATGCCTCCAAAATCGACCCCGGATGATAAAGAGACCGAATTCAACTTTAAGGTGGAAGGCACCGAATCAATTAAGAGGTTCGTGGTGCAAAGTTCGAAAGTAAGCAGTCTCGAGAACTCTCTCTTTCATGTGAGAACAGCTCCGTCAAAGGATCCTATTCCGATCGCAAAGTACAGCATATTACCTCGCGCCACTCCGCTGCCTATAAGAGTTCGAATCGTCAAACGCCTTGTTGGGACTTTACTCTCGATCATGATCCAGTATGTGTCGAACTCGGATTTGCCTGCACCCTTGAATGATGTGACGATTGTCCTGAAGCTGCCCGTTGATCCAACCTTACTTAAAGTGTCGCCGAAAGCAGTGCTGAATAGAACTGAGAGGGAATTGAAATGGCACATTGATGAGATTCCGCTTAAGGGCAATCCCGGAAGGTTAAGAGCAAGAATGCCTGTGGATATTGCTGAAGATGATGATGGGTCGGATCTTGAGATCTTCGCTTATGTGAAATTCTCTGCTCGCGGCGCTAGATCCTTATCCGGAGTGTCGCTGAAGCCGGCATCGGAAGGTAAGACAGATTTCTATGAGGTTGATCACAGGTATTCTAGTGGTGAGTATATTTGCAACTAAGCATGAAGATTTCTAGCTTCTTTTTTTTTTTTTTTTTTTTTCTGGGAATCTTGGATTTGTGCTGTTTTTAGTTTTAGTTCTGATGAATTTTGTGGTTCTTGAAATCTCATATTATTTGTTGAATTGAAGCTGGTCTCTGAATTTCGATTTTGCCCTCCTGTTGTGTAAAATTGTTTTCTTTGAGTATCACGAACTGTTTCATTTCTTCTTTGATGATGGGCTATTGCAACGGGTGGATTGGTGTCGGATTTAATACTTTAAATGTGTTAAATTATTTAATCCTTACCAGACTATTATCATATGGTTTATTATCGTATCGGGTTCGTGTTGACTCGTTTATTATCGTATTGGGTTTACATTGACTCGTGTTATCCGTATACATAATGAAGTCGAAATTTTTTATTCGAATTAATTTATATTTTGTTATGCTGCCGTGTTGTGTCACTTTTTATTGGTTTGAGCATAATATGTGCAATGAATTATGTTAAATTATTTAAAATTGAATTTAATTTAAATTAATTTACGAGAATATTATTAAATTATAATTATTTTATCTATATAATAAATATATTAATCAATATTAATATATTATAATCGAATTGTGGTATGGGTTCGAGACGGGAGTTTCAATCCTAACTCAATCTGTTTATTATCGTGTCAGATTCGAATCAATCTGTATATATAATCGGTTAAAATATTTGACCTAAATCCAATTATTCTGTGTCGAGTTGTCATGTCGAATCAATTTTTTACGGCATTAAAGTTGCTAATATTTTTGTTTTTTTTTTTTTTTTTAAGTGACGTGAAAACCGAAGCCGCTGTTGTCACTTCAAATATTTATGTAAATGGATGCACACTATCATACTATGCTAATATCTCTCAATGTACATAATAAAAGTAAATGAATACATACAAAATATGATATAAAATAACAATTTAATTTGGGGAATTTTAATTTAGTTTGGGTAAAATAATTTTTATTATTTTAAAAATATTATAAGGACAAAAGACAAATCCAAATTTTCTAATGAAAAATGCTACAAAAGAGTGAAAATACAGATAAGCGCAGCATAATGGGCCCAATTAAATCAAATTGCCTTTTGGGCTGTTCCTTATTATATAATGGGCTTTAAGTGCTAATCTAATTTAAGTTAATTGGCCCATACTGTGTATGGGACTAGATGTTGGGCCTGCCACTTTTCAGAATTATTATTATTATTATTTTATTTGTATATGTAATATGTATCTCTGAAGTGTGAAATTATCTAATTGCTAGTACTTTGTATAGTTACTAAAGAAGAAATAAATGCCTAACTACTAAAAGTGACCATTTTTGTACTTTTAATATTTTTATTTTAATAATAAAGCCTTCGCTATCAATTTCATTGTCAGCATTCAATCCGTCATTAATTATAAATAAGGGCTGCTCTTTCGTTTATAGCACAACTACATATCATTCAACAATTTAATTTTATATTTACCTTTCTTTTTAAAAAATATAAATATTATACTCATTTCAATTTTTATTTTTTTTAGAAAAACATTTCCTTTAACACACAGCACATTTGGCATCAACAAAGCAAAATATAATTTAACAAATATAATATTTAATTTATTTTTACAAACCCACAAAACGACAATATATATATATATATATATATACCAAAAATAAAACATTAAAAACATGTTATGACAGCGTTGGCAATTGGGGTAGGGACCGGCCCGACTCCGGTCGGGTTTGGATTGCCTTGAATTACAAAGATATATTCTCGTATTTTATTTTATTTTTTTTAATTTTTTGATAAAGTAGATAAAAAATTAATACTTTTGTTTTTGTTTTATAAAAATATTATAAGATAATTATTTTCACTAATATATTTTTAATTATTTATTAATTACACTCTTCCTAAAATACACTGTCTACAGTGTAGCGTGGGACGGAGGGAGTATAATATTTTTATTTTTTTATAAAAAATAATATTTCATCCGTTTCAATACAAATAGTCTTATTTACCATTTTTGTCCGTCCCAAAACAATAGTCTTATTTTCATAAATAACCATATCACCGTAAAACTACTTATACTTTTTCATTTTTATTACACAATTGTCACTACTTTTTAAACTAATGCATTCACGAGGGCAAAAAAGTTTTTTATCCATACTTTTTATCCACTACCAATATAATATAAATATTTCTAAAATCTCGTGCCAACTTAATTAAGACTATATTTATGAGACGGATAAAATATTTAATCAATATTATCTTTTATATTACCAATATAATTCATAATATTTTATATAAAGAAAACATTAAATTAAATATTAAACAAACACACTAAGATTTGACTTTGAAGTTGAATTTTAATTTTAAATAATTTTATGAAATTATAATATATTTTGATGGTGAAATATTGTGATTTTAGTCTATCATTTAAATCAAACAAACAAAATTGATTTGTTACGTGTTTTGATTTGAATTTTTTTTAATACAAAATATAAAATTTTTATCGATAATATAAAAAATAATATTTAATATTTAATATTCGCAGCTAAAAAACATATATATATATATTAAAAAATCGTAAAAAGAATAAATAAATAAAATGGAAGAACAAACCCCTATTCTTTAGGACTAAAACTCACCGAATTAGCTCGGCAAACCCGGCCCGTTAACAGTGGATCTTGGCCGATATCAGCCCAAACCCAATTCTCATACCCATACCCGTACCCGTACCCATATCCTAGCGGCTATAGGCGATGACTAACGATTTTTCTTGGTGTGTTGGTTGCAGTAAGGCATTGAGAACTCCGCCACCATTATTTCGACCAAAACCAACAATTACTCTATTTATTTATTAATTAATTTAATCGTCCTTAAACCACCTCCACTCTCCACTCTTACATATTTTTGGCCGACGTTGTCAGAAAAAAAATAAATACCCAAATCACCTCCCAAAATTAAAATTAGGCCCAATTTCTGTTTCAATCTTCATTCGATCCGACGATGAAATTAGGAAAGCAAGTGCAGACAGAAACCACAGGGATTCGATTCAATTCGATTAAAAATTAGTTCTTTGTTCATTTCGCATATACATACATATATCCAAATTTTTGTGTTTGCCCTAGGAATTTTCAGCAACTCTTCCTTTCAATCTCCGAAGAGATCCATCGTTCTTTCCGTCTCCCATATTGTTATAATTTCAAATTTCCAATTCCATTTCTGTATTTTTTTCGAGGATTTCGATTTCTCAAATTTATTCCTAAAATGGCGAACGCATCTGGGCTGTTGGGTCCGACGGCGCCCATTTCGCGCCGCCGGTTTTCCCCGACCGTACGGATTCACCGATCCGGAATTTCCCTACACGACGTCGTTTTGAAGAGGGTCGTCTGCTCCGCCACAGCTCACGGCGCCGATAAGCTCTCCTCCTCCTCCGCCGCCGGAGCTCCAAGGTAAATTGAGATTGATTGATGATTTTTGCTCGTCGTTTTTATCCATTTCGATGCTTCTGAGGTCGATTAGTTTAGCGTTTTGGGATCTTACCAAAACCTTGATTATGCCAATGTTGTTGTGAATTTGGACTGTGTTTGTTTCCTTTTCATTGTTGGGAAGAAGATGAGCCATTTGTAGTTGTTCAACTATTATAGCTAGGCATCGATTATGTTTGAATTTGTGGATTTGTAAACTATTTGATTCTAGAAAAGGTTCCATAGATGTCTTAATAGAGCGATGTTGGTGTTTAGAGAAGTGTTTTGATGAAATTTTTCGATGCATTTGTGCATTTATGTTCTTCGGCTTCGAATTTTTTTAGCTCATTGTTCGTTAAATTTGGTTTTCGGAATTATTTCCGGTGACCGGATCTTGTCTCCGGCGACTACTTCTATTACAAGTTTTGTAATTAGGCTGAATCTTTGCTCGAATTTACAAAGATTTCAATTTAGATTTCTTTCTTGGTGCATCAAATTCGAATGCGTTTGTTTGTCTTCATGTTCGAGCATCAGGTGAAAATTTTCTGTTTTGATTTTGATTTCTTTCTTGGTATGTCGAATTTGAATGTGTTTGTTTGTCTTATGTTCGAGCGTTAGCCTTAAATTTACTCTATTGAACTTACCGTGGTAATTGAAACTATACGCAGATGTAGATATGGCTTCCGACATCCTTGAAATTGTTTTATCATTCGATGATGTTCTTTTATTACATGAATTCTACGATTACAATGATTATCGTGTTGTCTTGATTTTCGTTGAAATTCTCGCAGACTGGTTAGTAGAGGCTGCAAGTTAGTTGGATCTGGTTCTGCAGTGCCGAGTCTTCAGATATCGAATGACGATCTCTCCAAGATTGTCGAAACTTCTGATGAATGGATATCTGTTCGCACCGGCATTCGAAATCGAAGAATACTTTCCGGTGAGTTTAGTTCAAGATATCTTTTTTCTTCTTCCCTTTGAGCTGAAATTACGAAATTTTTACCTACCGAAGCGTTTTGATTTCAGGAAATGATAGTTTGATCGATCTTGCTGTCGAGGCATCGAAGAAAGCTCTCGAAATGGCAGAGGTCGATCCCGACGACGTCGATCTCGTCTTGCTGTGCACGTCGACTCCCGAGGATTTATTCGGCAGTGCTCCACAGGTTAGCCTAATCTCAACATTCTCCGCCAAACTTTTATTCGTTTATTAATTCGCCGGTAATTTTAATTTCAGATTCAAAAAGCGCTCGGATGCAAAAACAATCCTTTAGCGTTCGACATCACAGCTGCGTGTAGCGGTTTCGTTTTGGGCTTAGTTTCGGCAGCTTGCTATATCAGAGGTGAAAGAAATATTTAAAATCGTCATCGTAATTACACCGATCAAACAAGTCCCGTCATTTCGTGTTATATCGAATCTCGAATTTTCAGGAGGCGCGTTCAAGAATGTTTTGGTGATCGGCGCCGACGCACTATCCCGCTACGTCGATTGGACGGACCGAGGATCGTGTATCCTCTTCGGCGACGCTGCTGGCGCCGTCTTAGTACAGGCCTGCGATCACGAAGAGGACGGTTTGTTTGCGTTCGACTTGCATAGCGACGGGAACGGGAATAGGTACGATTACATAATCAAATCATTCGACGGGGACAGCGCGTTTTTCCCTAAATCGAGTTTTTTCGCAGACATTTGCATGCTCAAATGAAGGAGAATGAGAAAAACGACGAGGCCGGGACCAACGGATCGCTCCTCGGAGTACTACCGAAAGGCTCATCGTACTCGTGCATTCAGATGAACGGTAAGGAGGTGTTCCGTTTCGCCGTTCGCGTCGTTCCGCAGTCGATTGAGTTGGCTCTGGCGAAGGCGGGCCTATCGGGGTCGAGCATTGACTGGTTGCTCCTTCACCAGGTACCGAAAATGAAGCTCGTTTCGATTCTATTTACGAGATTTCATATCCAAAAGATCGAATCTTGATTGAAATCAAATTCCTGCGACGTGGAACGTTTGCAGGCGAACCAAAGAATCATCGATGCAGTGGCGACGCGGCTAGAGCTGCCGTCGGAACGGGTGATATCGAACCTGGCGAATTACGGGAATACGAGCGCGGCGTCGATTCCACTGGCGCTCGACGAGGCGGTGCGGAGCGGGAAGGTGAAGGCCGGCGATACGATAGCCGCCGCCGGTTTTGGGGCAGGACTCACTTGGGGCTCGGCCATCGTTCGATGGGGCTGAGGTTTGTGTCTGTGTTGGTTTCTGTGTAATAGGAACAATTTCTTGTCTGCAACTTTGTGTGCTCTTCTTTCTTCAATGAATGCTTATTCTTTCTTGCATCTTGTCATTGTTACATGAATGTAGATGATTTATTCTTTTTTTTTTTTTTTTTTTTTTTTTTGTAACATGTGAGTTTGATGCTATTTTGGGATGGGTTGTGGATGACAGCGGATAAAATTTAGCACTGTGCTGACAATATATCGCAGCAGAAGGGGTGCTGTCAGACAGAATACGGTGTTATAGTCTTATACAATACAATCAATTCAGTGTATTACATATTATAAATCTTATTTGTAGTTATAAATCAATAATACAAAATACAACATATGAATTGACAGTACATGTTATATACAATCAATACTTGATTCAGTGCACCACATATTGTATATACTAATTTAACACCGTAACCATTTCTGGTTCTAGATAAATTTATTGTCGAACATAATAATTTACTTAAGATCATCTTTTATGGACCATGAATATGAATTTTTCACTGGAAGGAAAATTTGATTTAGATTAAGGATATTGATCATTTTCTTTTTATAAAATTGAATACAGTAACAACTGCTATCTCCACAATGAAATAAATATTGGATTTAAAAATTCGAGCCCTTAATACCCAATTGGTCCACCCAGGACTAGACCGACCCGACCAATATGACCCGACCCATAAGCGCTGTGACCTAGCCCACTATATCAGCCCATCAATTCGGCCTAGACTTGCTCAAATGTTTCGGTTTATCTAAAAGATCACACCGAACTTTTTCGAATTACAATTTCTGTTTGGGTATATAATTTAAATTAAATATAATTATATACTAAAACTTTATCAAATTTAAAATATAAATACACAAAAATTAATTTTTTTATTATTAACTATTGTTAATATTAGTATTCTTTTTATTTTTATAAAATATACTACCTCCAATTATAAGAATTTTATTTTATTTTTGTAATTTTTTAATATTAATTATTATATAAAAATTAGTATAAATTATGAAAAATTGCAAAAATATTTTGTTTTATAATTTTAATAAAAAATATTTATACAAAAAATTATACAAATATAGAAATATTTTTAATATTAAATATAATAACGTAAAATTAAATCAGACCTTTTAGAGGCGGAAGCAGTAATAAATTTAATTATAATTAAACTATTATTATTATTAAATATCTATTTTATTTAATGTTTTTGACCTAATTAACAAACTCCACATCCACAGCGCCGTCTGAACCAGGTTCTTCCTCTTTCTTATTCTTCGTGTTCACCAACCGTGAGAAAACCGGAACCGCCGGTTTGAAATCAACGAATCGAACCGGAGAACCCAACCGTCGGTTCGAAACCAATTGGGCAAGTCTGTTTGGGCCCAACTCGTTGTGGACTTGTGGTCTGGACGAAAATTAAACAACAAATAATGAATTAGGGGTTAGAATTACAAATCTATTAAAGATTAGGGCTTAGATATAAAATTTCCACGTTTTAATTTAAGAAACAAGAAAGAGGATGATAAAAAGGGTAATTCTTACCACTTACTTTCTGTTTTCTTTATTTGCAACTTCCAAATTATTCCATTTCTCCTGGGGAGTGCTTTTTATTGCTGCTTCTTGTTGTGCTTCTGAGCAATTTCACTGCGCGTTTTGCAAAATTTGTCTGATTGTCGTTGTCGATCTGCCAGATCTCTCTTGCTGCTCCAATGGCGAATCAATGTGCTGCTGCTGATGCTCCTTCAACTAGGCCGTTGATAACTCACGTCATTTTCGATATGGACGGCCTTTTACTCGGTAATTTTAATGCGCTGAGCATTTGGCAATGAGTGCGAAGATATATTCCATCGTTTACGCTTTTTCTACTGGAATCTGAGCTTTGTATTTTGTTTTTCTGAGTTTGTGTTGGAGGAAGGTTGTTGTGAAGTTAATGTGTTGTTTGTTTTGGTCTTGCGTTGTTGCTGATGAAGCGAATGGTTTTACTGTATGTGATGTTTACTTCTTGATTGGATATACTGATTTAGTGGAAGAATGGTTTCGTGATGTTTTGTTGGATTGTTTCATGCGAATCAGTCAAGCTTTTAGAATAATTAGTTAAGATATTTTTGATTTGATGATTAAGTTTTCCGCGAATCTAGTTTACCGTGGCCTGGTTTTGGATCATTTGAATGATAATATAGGACATGTTTATACATTTCTGATCCTCTGTTAAGGAAAGTAACTGTTGATTCCTGTGGTTTCTTGAGAATATGTGGTAACAATGTGAATTTGATAGCATATATCATTCCCATGTATGATGAACATGATTCTGAAGTTTGAAATAAGAGCCTGTTTGCTGATTGGATCGAGAAACAATGTTGCGCTAGTTTGTACCAAGTTTATAAGGCTACGTTGATGATTTTCCATGTGTATTCTAGAAGAATTGGGGGCACAGAGTTGCAAAGAAACATGCAGATTAACATGACCATTGAGTTGCGTAATCAATCAATTTAAGGATTGGGATTTCAGAGTGTTCTATTACATCCCATGGGTTCACTCCATTCGACTGATTTGAAATGAAGTCAGTGAAATAAATGTTAAATATGCTTAGCAAACCCATGAATTCGTTTGTCAATAAAATCTCTAACCCATGATTGGGATTCAACATAACCCCTATTGCCAACTACATGGCTTCCATTCTAAATAGAAAATAATAAACTCTGATATTTCTTTTCAGACACGGAGAAATTCTACTCAGAAGTCCAAGAGATTATCCTTGCTAGATACAATAAAACATTTGATTGGTCACTTAAGGCTAAAATGATGGGCAAGAAAGCAATAGAAGCTGCTCGAGTTTTTGTAGAAGAAACTGGAATCAGTGACAAACTCTCGGCTGAAGATTTTCTTGTAGAAAGAGAGGACATGCTGCAAAATATGTTCCCAACAAGTGAACTCATGCCAGGTACTCTTAATTTGCTGATGCACGACATCCGATACTTACAATATTCTTATTGGTGTGTTTCTAGATTGCCAGTAACCATTTGTCTAAGCACTAATTTCAGCATCACATATGTTGTTTGAAGCATCTTATTGAACAGAGTTTCTACTTTGATAAGTAAAAGTAATAACCAGTACAAATGACCATGGTTGGACTTGTTATACGGTTCATGAGAATGAAGTTTAGTACTGCACAAATTAGGTAATTTTGATTATATTAATTTGTTTTCTACGCGTTGTAGATGAAAGGTGTGATAATTTGTACTTATGTTGGATATTTGTCTAACTGGGGAAGGCTCTTAAAATAATGGTAACAGAACATTGACTTTGAACCACTAATTGACATGAGATACTATAGGAATTCATGAATCAATTCAAGGCATTTTGTACCATTCCCCATTACCATCCTCTGAAGTATGCAAACTGAGGATTTGTAACATTAGTTCCAGTTATAACCTACGACCTGTGTACATCTTTCTCGTGGGCTTCTAGAATTCATTGCATGCTGTAGTGGTCATAACTTTAACTGAAGATGTAATGAATTTTATTTGTTTCTCTTTCTGTAAGTTGTAATTCTGTTTTTGCTAACCCAAATAATTAATTTAATTACACTTTAAACTTTTTAACAGCCACGATAATAAGATCACTACTTTGAAATCTCGACACAATAACATTTGCTTCTTTTAGACTTTTCTTGGCACTGCTCTCATACCCTACCTTGTACATTACAGGGGCTGATCGTTTGATCCGCCATCTTCATGCAAATGGAATACCTATTTGTGTTGCAACAGGGTATATGCTCAATATTTTCTCATGTCAATTTCGAAATTACATAAAATTCGTGGCAATCAGCACTAACAAAAATGTATAATAGTACAGGACTCACAAGAGGCATTTTGAATTGAAAACACAAAGACACCGCGAGCTCTTTTCTCTTATGCATCATATTGTTCTTGGCGATGATCCAGAAGTTAAACAAGGGAAACCTGCACCCGACGGGTTCCTTGCAGCATCCAGAAGATTTGAGGTATATTTTTTTATTTTATTGTGCCTCACAATTAGGATGAGAATATCAGTATCGCAAAAATGCACGAATTTATTCTGGGATGATTACTTGTTTCCAGGGTGCACCAATCGATCCCAATAACATTCTGGTTTTTGAAGACGCACCCTCGGGTGTCCAAGCAGCCAAGAACGCTGGCATGTAAGCCCTCTTCCCTCAACCTAAGCTTCTAGAAATTCTCATGGTACTCATAAGCAAATATGGTCAATGAAATTAATCGAAAACAATTTCGAATGCAGGTCAGTTGTTATGGTTCCTGATCCAAGACTGGATAGTTCATACCATCAAATTGCAGATCAAGTTCTTCACTCCCTGTTGGACTTCAATCCAAGTGAATGGGGTTTGCCTCCTTTCGACAAACCTGCAGCCTAACCTCGTTCCGATCAAATCGAGGTACCTAAGCTCATCCTTGATTTTTATCAATTCCTTGCACTAAATTAAGGTTGATTATGATATTGAATGAGGTATCATTCTTTGTTCCATTTATTGGAGTATTGTTTCTTAAAATAAAAAAAAAAAAAAATGAAAATCACATTTAAATTATGTGGGGGCATAAGTAAGGTAAATGCTGGGAAGTATTGAATCTTAATTAAATATTTAATTAATGTTGCTAATGACACTGGGCTTGTGTAATAATTCAATAATTAAGTCCTAGCACATGCATTATATATACCCTCTTCTTTCAATTTTCTTTTTATTGCATTGTTTGAATTGATTTGATAGATCAAATATTGCTATTTATTGCTTTCATATATTACTGTTGTATTAGATATTTTAATTAGAAAATGAGTATGGAGTGTGAAATTCGAAAGTAGATTAAAAGTGATTATTTTTAAGGTAAAAAACAAAAAATGTGACCATGGCCTTTTAGGACAATGATAAAGTAAAATTAGAAAAAAGTTGTAGTAGGAATAACATCCACATGTATAAATTTCTCCATCTTACATATATAAAACTGGTCCATGCATGTAATATAACGTAGGAAAGTGTGTTATATTTTCCTAATCAGTGAGCCCTTGGATCGAAAATGGACGGTTGGGATTGATGGAGGGCTATTTTGGGTAAATAAACCAGCACGAAATATAGATATGACCAACAACTATTATTGGAATTTTGGAAATAATAAAAAAATTGAATATTTGTGGGAAAAATAAATATTTGATGTGATAATTTTTAATAAAATTAAGTGTTTCTGTCAATAAAGTCTTTATAATTTTGTGTTAGTTCAATAAATTTATAAGATTTATTGCCAAAATAATTGGTGTGCTTGCTTGTACCGTGTCACAACGCATGATTATAAAATTCAACATTCAATTTTGAGGGAATTGATTATTAGACAAGGTTAACATAAAAGAATAGTTTATATATATGTATGTATGTGTATATATATATATATATATGTAACATACACATGCCACTAGATAATTAATATACTCTCTCCTTGTTTACTATTTTTGTCCGTCCTAAAACAATAGTCTCGTTTCTATAAATAATCATATCACTATAAAACTATTCCTATTTTTTCATTATTATTAAACAATTGTCACTGCTTTTTACATAAGGGCAAAAAAATTATTTATTCTTACTTTTTTTACCAATTACTAATATAATATCAATATTTTTTAAATTTTGTGTCCAGTACAATAAGATTATACATTTACTTTTGGAACGGAGCGAATATATATATATATATATAGATAATTTATGCATACACATGCCACTAGATAAAATTGCTATTTAAGTCTCATAAATGAGAATCAATATTAATCCTGTACATTTTGGTTTTGAGTCATCGATTACTTTTAGGGCAAGTTGCCTTTGTATTTTTAATCATAATTTTGTCTTGTTATTATTTATTTAATATTATTTTTAAAACATACATAGCCTTGTTTAATATTTCCTATAACATGCTTAAATGCTTGAACACAATTTGAATAAAAGTGAATAATAATAACTACTATTATTATTTTTTTATAATAAAAATATATAAAAAAATATAATCTACTTTTTCGCTAAAAAAAAGAAAACAGAAATATTGTTTATGATAATTTAAAAAGAAAATTAAATATAAATTTAAATGATATAGAGAATGGTTTTAAACAAACCCCACCTTCAACTATTATTTATATTGAAAACAGTACAATCTACCTACTATTTTTATTTTAAAATGTGTTTTATTTGTATTTAAATTAATTTTATTATTATTAAAAAAATTTAATTTTTTTAAAAAAATTATATTTTTTTTATTAAAATATATGTCAAAATATTACTCCCTCCCGTCTCAGGTAATATGAGATTATTATTGTAGATATAGGAATTTAGGTAAAATATAATTAGTAAGTAATTAAACGTGTATTAGTAAAAATAATTATTGTATAATAAAAATAACTGTAGATTAAGATCAAGATAACTAAATAGTTTAATTAAGATTAAAAAAATTAAAATTTAAAATGTATAATCATAATTTTAAAAAAAAAAATGACAAATTATGTAGGACGAAGGAAAATATAAAATATGGACAAATTATGTGGTAGAGGGGAGTAGTTAGATTAAAATTTAAATAGAAAAACTCATTCACGAACCAAACAAACCTTGTAAAATTTTGATTTATTTAAATTTGTCCCATTGTATTATATATATATATATATATTATAAAACTGGTAGTAAAAATATATTCAATATTTTTAAACAATTAAAAATATTAAAACCCAAGCAATAAAAGCTTGGAAGTATATAAATTATGTCTAATTAATTTGTATAAACCAAAGAATTAATTAATATCAAACTCGTATTTTGCTATGATCGACGAGTAATAATTTTTTCAAAAATTCTTTTCACGATTCAATTTGTTATTCAACCATATTATTCAATATTCCCAAACTATACAAACATTTCTCCACGTCATCATTAAATATTGACAGATATATTAGTCAGTAAAAATGACCATAAAAATCTATACAACATTGGGTTTTAAGGATTTGTTTGGTTTGAGTTTCTTTTCTCTATAATTTATAATAATAATAATAATAATAATAATAATAATAATAATAATAATAATTAATGGGGCAATATTATGATCTTGAATCATGCATCTATATATATTTTTAACTCTAAACATTCCACCACTAATTAAATACATATAATTCGATAATATCATAATCTTGAACTTATATATAATTTTTATTAACATTTTAATTTCTCTTATAATTAGTTATATATATATATAGTTGCAATTTATTCACACATACATTTATTTTTCATCATAAAATTAATTTAAAGATTATATAATTGTTACATCGGATGACATATATATATATATGTATATATAAGATAACTTATAAGAGTCAAGTATATTAATACGAAATTATATAATTAAAGTGTAATAACTTTTCTATATATAATCAAAATTGTAATTTTCGCGATATAGTCCAATTATTTGTGTAACTTTCTTGACTTAGCCTTTGCCGGCAATATTCGGATTCTTTTGGCCACTCTTACAAAGTCCCTGCGATATAATAAAAATTAATTTTACATGAATTCGATGAAAAAATAAAAAAAATAAAAATACACACATTTTAAAGCAGAATACACATGTATACGTATGTGTGAGATAGCTAAAATTATAAAAATAATATTGTAAAGTTTATTTTGTTTTATTTTAGTTGAAAAACATATATGAAAGACAATCTTAGGTTGTGTTTGGTTATTATTTCAAATAAATTTCAATATTATTCAATATGCATGGTTTAAAATAAAAATACATTATTTCTTCTCATAAAATATCATATTAAGAATACTATTTAAATTAAATCAAAACTCAAATAAAAACCAAACAAACCCTTATATCTAAGATATGGTTGATTATTAAGGCTTTGTTTAATATAACTTTTAAGAGTTTTAAAGTTTTGAATTATAAAAAAGACTAAAAGATTAAAGTGTGCTATTAAATATGAATTATTTTCCAAGTATAATTTGAAGAAAAATTAAAGTGATAAGTGGTCTCACTTGGTACAAAAAAAATAAAAAAAAAATTGCTTATTAGTCTATTTAGGATTATATGTTGTTTTTATAATAGTAAAAAGTAAATTATATTTTACTCTTGGATTTATTATAAATAAATAAATAAATAAATAAAACATCTTCATCATTCTCTAATTATGTGAGATATATATAATGTTTTGTAAAATCATATATATTGGTTAAAATTTAGGGAATAATATTAGGATTAAATAAACTTGAATATCTCAATTATACGTGAGATATGTTATTCATTGAAGTTCAATTAATAGAGTTTTATAAAATACAAATAAATTTTAATAATTTCTAACTATAGAGAAAATTTGTGATTTTTTAGTAAACCACACTAGATATAATGCAATCTTGTAATTTCACAATAATAATTATATATATATATAAATAAAAATAAAAATGAGAATATATATATATATATATATATGTATGTATGTATGCAAAAATTACTAACTTCCAGTTAAGGTCGCCGGCGAGAAGAAGATCATTTTCCATGTCCTCGTAAGCGATCACGTATCCCGGAATGGCGTTCTCCAGATCAACGTCAGCATCGCCGGCGGAGCTACGCCGGTGATCGGAATCCTCAGATCCGTCGACGGCGACGGCGACGGCGACGACGTCGAGGAACATCTGGCGGAGAGCCCTCGCCAGGCTCTGGTAGCTGCCATGTTTATGGAGGCTGATGCGCTGGCAGATGCACCGCCCTTCCAGCACAACCGTCACCGGCGGCACCACCGCCGCCACCAGCTCGTCGTCGTCGGCGAAGAACGACGACGATGGATGGCGCTGCAGCGGGGAGGCGTTAATCGCCGGATTCGGATTGGCCGTCGGATGCAGGTGGAAGAAACTCGCTTCGACGGCTGTGATTAATCGCCGGTCTTGCCACGGCGGCGCCGGCGACGGCGCCGGCGGTCTTTTGAAGGAAGTTTGGTGTCGTTGAGAATCAAAGCTGCTACTCATTTTGACGCTCTCTTTTTTTGGCGCAACTTCCGAATTATATTACTTTCTTACACCAAAAATACACACACGCACATATACATACATATGTTTGTATGTATATGCGATTGTGTTTGTTTTTGTTTTTTTATTTAAAGTAGTGGTTCTGTTTACTTTTGGGATTTTCGCAACTATTTTCCTATTTCAATTTTTTTTTCTCCAAAATTTCAAATAAAATATTTAATTTTTATTTATTTTATTACACTAAAATCTAATTTTATATTCAAAATATTACATCAAAGTATATTTATATAATATCAAATAACTATTTTAATTCAAAATTTTACTATTTAATATCAAACCACGTACCATCATAAAATATGTTACAAATGTAATTTTAAGGAATATATATGTATATATATATATATATATATCAAGCTAGCAATTGTTAAATAAAATATAAATGTAAATAATAATGATAGTAATTAATCTAACTATATATGGTTGGTCAGCCTAAAATATTTCTTAAATTTTACATAAATGTCTTCCACTTTTACCAGCACTTGGGGCAATATTTTATTTATATTTATGTGTTATCATTTATTTCTGAAAAAGCAAGCAATTCATTTAATTTCATTTCATTTCATTTAGGACACAATTTAAACATTATGAGTGTGTTCTTGTGTTCTTTCAACACAATTTTTTAACAAACTTCACATTAATGTTATATAAAAATTACAATAAAAATATATTTACACATTATTCACACAATATATTTATATTATATATATATATATATATTTAATTCATCAATAATCTAATACAAAATATTAGTAACTTTTATATTATTGACATGTTTCTTTTATACTAATATAACAACACATCAAATTAAAAGTACATAACAAAACAAACACACCCTAAAAATATAATTATGTAACAAGTTATATTATTTAGGGTTTGTTTAGTTGTGTTTTAGGTATATTTTTGTATTTTGAAATAGTAAAAAATTGAATTTCAATAACAGTTTGATGAATATAAATACATATTTACTACTATATTTTATATTTGAGTAGTTTTCATCTTGTCTGGATTAAATCAACATGATACTAATTAGACACTGTTCGCACATTTAATCAAAAGATATATCACATGTCTCATAATATATATATGATAATATAATATGCAATATCATAAAGTTCAATATAGCATAGTATAAATATTATTGATTTCGATACAAAAATTATATTAATAAAGTACAATATTATATATATATATATATTGTCTCTCTTATGGTTAGAGTTTTGCCGTCGTTTTAAATATATCTTCTTCGTAAGCAATGTATTGTTAAAAGATAGGGGCATGAATAAATTGTTGATCTGATCAAATTAGTATGGTACTAATATATTTATATATATATATATATCAATATATTTATAATACAATATATATGTTATATTATAATTCACCACAGAATTTGTATAGTAAAAGATAAATATATTGTGTGATTTTAAAAAAATAAAATAAAATGTAATTACATAGTGGAAACGGCAAAGGAAAACAACCAAACAAAACGTTACTCAATTAGGTCCCTCGATAAAACCAAACCTATGTTTGAATTAATGCAATATACATTATTTAATGAAGAGAAGTACTTATTGCATGATCTAATCCATCTAGCATCTGCATATACTTTAATTATATTGTACAAACCTCTTTGCTTTATTATTATTACTTCATCCGTCATGCAAATGTATCTTCATTTGATTGGACACAAATTTTAATAAAAATAAATAATAATTATTAATTTTTTTATAATAAAAAACAATACAAAAGTAGAATGATTTTTTACTTAAAAAAAAATAGAAAAATGACATAGATTTGAATTTATTTATCATATGAAATTGACATCGATTTTATACTATTTCTTATAATATAATATATATATATATAAAATAATAAAAATAAATATTTTAGTAATATTTTCACCGCCTCCACTAAAGTAATGGCAAAAAATATCTAAAATTCTCCTAAAAGATGTTTTAGTTTGGTTTGATCAATTTGTCAATATGACATAATTGTAATTTCTTATTTAGAAATAAATAATTAAAAGGGATGTTTGCTTGTGACTGCAAAAGTACCTTTATTTCACCTCTCTCCACTCTACATCTTATAATTTTATTAAGGTTTTATATGTTTACTTTAGTTGAAATTTTTTACTTTCAATTTTTATATTATGTAATCTTTATAATTTTTTTATAAAAAAAAAATTACTTTTCTTTTAAAAAATGTTACATTTTATTACTGTTTAATAAAATTATAAAATAGTCAAAATAAAAGTAATAAACCCTAATTGATCAATATATATATATATATGTGTATATTTATGTAATTAAATATTAACAAATCGCATTGAATTGAGATAGTAATCACTACGTGTGTGTGAGTATATAAAAATAAATATGCCTCAATCTCGGCAAAGATATATTTGTATTCTAATTTCTATTTTAATTATTTATTTCATAGGGATTGTGAAATTAAAGAAGTATACGTCACGCAAAAGAAGTCCTTGTACTGCTGCTGAATTCGACACAACACAATACAACACCAAGAAAAAATGTGTGGGCGTTTGGAATTTTGTAGATTTTCCTTTTTCATAATTTCTTTTATATATATATATATATATATATCAAATTAAATGTTTACTTTTTATATTGAATAAAAAAATTTAATTTCACATTCAAAAACCAATTAATACATTTATACTAAAATCCAAATCCCAAATAAATGCACCCTATATGTAAACATAGTATTAACTATTTATTTATTTCTCATGACAATATATATATATATTGGTAATTAAGTTGACAATAGATCTTCTTCTTTGAATTCATCGCAACAATTAATGTCAAATTTATATAGGCACATAAACATGTTTTTAAGTTTGGACAATATTTATAGACAATAATTTCTTGAAAAATGGCAGATCAAAAACAAAAAAAAAAATCCTCTCACAAAATATTTTAATATATCCAAAAGTTTTCAATATTTCAAAATTCTAAAAACTTATGTATAAACAAAGTCATACTTTTTTCGTGCACTCAGTAAATATACATATTATTTTTTGCTGTTCAAAACAAATAATATCAATTCACAAGCATATTCTAAATACCTTCATATTTATTTATATTTATTTTTTGTATATACAAAACTATCGAACAAAGTATATTTATTTAGAATATTACATTTGCACCAAACTACAATTTCAATTCGATTCGTAACGCGCAAGTAGCATTATATTTTAATTGTCAAGTATGCTTAGATACTTAAAATAAGATATTAATAAAAGGAGTATATAGGAAATTGGAAATTGGAAAAAGCATTGCATTGGAAAAAGCCATGCATGCAGAGAGAGAGACGTAGCAGCGACGCAGTAGGCGATGGCTTCGCTGCGCTGCCTCATTTGAATACTCCGAGGTGGTCGGCTTCGTAACTCATATAACTAATTAATTCAAACATCATTAAATATCTATCTTAATAACTATCTTTTTTTTTTATTTAAATATCTGCAGTTTGATTCCATATATGTGTTGACCGAGTATGTGATAATAATTCAGTACAGGAAGATCTTTTCAGCCATAATAATAATAATAATCTTGTTTATATACATAAAGTGCAATACCCAAAATCTCCCTCAAAAGAACCAGAAGCAGCAGCAAGAAGGGATTGGGGAAAATATAATAAAAATTAATTGGTAACAAACAATGAATTATTAAAACTTGCCTTGGAAGAGTCGAATAATGATAATCACCACACATCACGTAGGTATCTTCCATTCATTTGCAGATTCTTCACCAGCCCCTCAGTTTTTGAGCTATCAAGTGATCCCTAACATCACAAACACCCAAACCCAACTTAATCATATCATATCATATCATAATCCAAGATCCATTCTGTGTAGTTTCTGGAGATCCAAAAAAGAAAAAAACCTGTTCTTGCACAATGGAATGGAGGGTTCGGTGAACGTCCTTCGCCATGCCTTTGGCGTCGCCGCAGACGTAGATATGGCCTCCGTTCGAGATAACATTCCAGATAGATGAAGCCTGGTGTTCATTACATGTTGTTCTATAGATTCAGAATTTTTGTGACCAAATCGAAACTATTCGATATATACATATATATACCTACCTTTTGTGCCATTTTGTGTTGCACGTATTCCTTAGTGTCTCCTTCGCGCGAGAAGGCAAGAACAAGCTCGGAGATCACTCTAGCTTCGACGAATTTAGTTAACTCGTCTTCGTAAATGAAGTCCTGCGCAAGGGAACGGATTAAATCGAGGATTAGTTGAGTGTCATAAACAGAGGTTTGTTAAGATTTGTTATGGATTTTGAGTAGATCGCGAACCATTTTCCGGTTCCTGCATCCGAAAAATAGTAAAGCAGGGCCGAGTTCAGCTCCTGATTCCTTCAGAGCTAACCTTTCCTGTAATAAACATACAAAGATTATTCTATTCCTTCATTGCGGTCCAAAATATAATCGATGCAGGTGTCGACTTACCTGAAGGAAGCCCCGGAACGGAGCTAAGCCAGTGCCAGGACCGATCATTACTATAGGTACTTTGGGATCAGCAGGAAGTCTGAAGTTAGAGGTCCTAACAAAAATCGGTGCCGAGCTGCAGTCGCGGCTTTCTTCAAATGGCGAAGCATTCTGGCACGAGGGGCAAAGCGAATCAGTGCAAGAAAGCACGTCGTTTGATTTAAATTTGAAAAATACAATACCTTCATCCATGTTGAGCAAACGCCCTTATGGATTCGTCCTGTGGGTGTTTTCTCATACACTAAAGCACACGTCACGTGGATTCTTGTCGACGCAATCCTGGAAGAAGCATTACGAATAGTGAGAACTTTACAAAGGACTAATTAAGGTAAATGTATACTTACTTCGGGGAGGATGAGATCGAATAAAATCTAGGCTGTAAGCGAGGAGCAACGCCTGCAAAGAACACACCGAGCGGAGGCTTTGCAGATGGGAATTCAGCCATGACCTCAAGAAGACTTCTCTGACTTGCAACTACGTACTGCGAATATTCCTCCTGAAATACATAAATGGTTAGTGGTAAACGAATGAAATGTAAATTACGATACGAAGAAAGAAGAAATGACCAAACCTTTCCAGCAGAGGAGGCGAGATGTTTGAGCCTATCTGCTTCGGTAGGGTCAGAAGCATAAGCGGCTAAAGCATTCAAAGCCGACTGAAAAAAAAATCGACAGAATTGATCATTATTATCGGAAGTTATTACAAATGATCAAAGAACGAATGATAAATAAAAAGCTCGTGCCTTTTTGGGTGCACTCAAGAGATCTGCATATCGAGTTAGCGCTGTCCTCAACGTGCAAGGGGGGAAGGGAGGCGGCAATGTGCTTCCGCTGAGTGGAGTGCCGTCATCCTTGTCTGTGTGAAGCGAGAAGTATGTTTGCGGAGGCAGATTAAGCATACGCTCCGCTTCCTCCACAGTCTCGAGCAAATTCTCAGTGTAAACACCAACGTGATCGCCAGTTTCGTACCTGTTGCAGGACAATCAGAGTTTATTTTTATGCAGCCTGTCGATCAATTACCGACTAAGGCAGGAAAATCAGAGTTTGTCCTATGTAGCTTACACTAAACCGGTGCCTGATATGTCGAATTCCAAGTGAGTGCACGATCGATCAGAAGCGGGAGTGTGTAGTTCTTTTTTCACAGCAACATTTACTCTTCAAGAATCAGAGATAGAAAAGTTAGGTAAAAAAATCGAGATAAGAAAGTGAAAAACAGAGGCAGGTATAGCTTACTTGCAGGGATGCTGAGCATCGTAAACAGTATTGCCATTGGCATGGCCGTTCGAAATGTTTGATTCATCTAATTCATCATGAAAAACAACTCGATATTCCAGAACTGCAGCTGTGTATGCGGTTGCTGCAGCTGAATCTTCCTCGTTGAGAAGCACTTTGTCCAACTCTGGCCACACTGTTTCGCGCCTATATTATCATCATAAAACCAAAAATTATGCAACAATGGAGATTGAACTATGAACTATCGATTTGTTGATATATGAACTCGGTACCATGCAGAAAAATCATCCTCAATGCATTGATCATCATCACCAAGACCCACTGGCACAATCCGCTGTCCACCTGAATTATATAGTTTGGTACAATCAAGTCTCGCATTTTCAACCACTATCGAACTTTTTTAATCGTGTACTGAGATAAGAAAGTTTCGAAGGAATCCCCATACCTTGCTCGGCGACAAGGTTGTCCACCACGATTGCAATCTATTCAGTAAAGTTGGCCATACAACAGGTAAGTATAACATTGAGCAATCGTTTACTGCAATAAAACAGACGTACAAGAACACGACAGACGAACCTTATTGAAATGCTCGTATTGCCTGTTACCTAGACCGAACACGCCATACTGGAGATCCTTGAGCCAGTTTCCTCTCTCTTTCCCCTGCACCACAATAAACTCAAATTTCAAGCCGAATCTCAATCCAATAGAGAATTTACAGTAACACTAATTAAATACCTCTGTGAACCATTTGTAGAACCTGGCTGCATTGTCGGTTGGCTCACCATCTCCATATCTGCACACAACGAAATCAATAAATGACACGAAAATGCAACAAATCCTTTTTGGAGGTTAAAAAATAAATGGTCCTACGTTGCCAAGAAGAAGATTGCCAGAGTTTCCTTTTTCATCTTCTTCTCAAATTCTTCTTCGTCGGCTGCAAAGTCATCCTATATCGAATCCAAATGCGTTAAGAAATCCATGAAATGGCGTTCAATGAGATGAGTTATAGCTACAAGCAGATAGACGTACCAAATCGAGTACTGTAAAATGAGCCTGCTGATATCTGGCTTTAGCTTCCTCAGCGAGTGCCTGAACAACAAGACAGCATTTATTCAATTTATAGTCGAACTAATCTACACCTCTAGTTTTCACTGTTACCTTATCTTATAAGTTATAACTCATCATACATATATGTGTGTGTATATATATATATCAGCTAAATTGGAATTCCTAATTTTCACCATATCATGAAGGATAATCTCAAATCGCAATGCCTTTTACTTTTTTCCCACCTAGCTTCCGAATTTTCGCAATGGAAACCTAATAAATCTACAACTGTTTGAATTGATAAATTTTAGAATACCTTTGCAAAGCCTTCCGCAGTGCCAGTCTGCGTCCCAAAAAATATGGTAACCTTCTTCTTCCCATCATCCACTTGCTCCGTCTCCTCCGGTTCCTTGCGCACCACTATCTTCGGCGGCTCCGCCACTTTTTTTGCCGATCCAGTCGCGCTCCGGTACAAAAGCACCACAACACAACCTACAAGCACCGCGATTGAGGTTGTGATTAACATCAAAAGGTCCTTGTTCTCCATCAGCCTTGCAACCACCGCCTGCGGAAATCCGTGCATTCTATCAAGCTTCACTGCTTCAATGATAGCAAACATCAAATCAAACGGCGAAAGCTTCTCGTAGTTGGAATCCATGAACAATTCCCACCGGAACAAAAAACAGAGGACCGAATGAATCGACGAAACAACAAAATCTGCACGATCAGCTTCTTCCGATTACCCCACCGCTTCAAGTTCGATGAATTTTGTTGAGAGATTATTGGTAGGTTCGGAGAGACTCTGGCTTCTACGGAATGGCTGAGACTGTTGGGCGACAGTATTTATATATAGAGAGAAAGATGCAGAGAGAGAGAGAGGGAAGAGTGAGAAACAACACAGAGGAAGGACAGAACGGGCAAATACACTGTACGATCGCCTAACTAACCAGACTGGTTACACCACCTAACTCCCACTAACCATGATTAGATTTCGCAAATAGAACCAAATAACAATGATAATCATAATAATAATAATAATAATAAGATTTCAAAAAAATGAAAAAAAAAATTGTATCAGAGAATGTTCTTATGCATGTCTTGACGCTAAAATTCTTTTTAAATAATACAAAAGAAAGATTATAAAATAAGATAATAGTATCAGTAAAAATATATTATAAAATAATATTTTTTTATCCGCTTTTAAGAATTATATTTGTCTTTTCCCCGTTGTACTTAATATAAAAAATATGTTTATACATTTGTATAATATTTTTTACAAATTATTTTAGTATTACAAAGCACTAATAATTAACATTCAAATATTGTATATGTATAAAATAATTGCATATGTAATGATATTTTAGAATTTAAATAAAAAATAAAAATATTTTGATATTAATAAATGATTACTTTTACTAAAAAAAATAAAATAAGTACTTTTAAATGGACATACAAAAATGATAAAAAAAAAATATATATTTTAAATTAAGATTGAATAAGTAATTTTTTTATGAGTGCGATGGAATTAATAAGCAAATTAAATATAATCCGACATTATGTATACATAGAGAGTAATCAAATATACTATTTCTTAGGTCTGGCTCCAAATATCACATTTATTTTTTATCGTGATTATTGGGACTCCCGCTTGCAAATATATGATTAATAGTTGAGATTTTTTTAATAGTTTGAATTTTTAGGTGAGAACGTCATTAACCAGCCTCGTGATTAAGAGGCTAACTAGGTCATGAGTTCGAGTCTAACCGTCCCCATACACAATAATTATATACATTTTTGTGAATTGGATTAATTGTGAATTTTTTTCATGCATGCATAAATTGATAAATTTATGACTTCTAAAAGACCTGCCGAAAATTGGGAATATAATCAAATAAATTTTAACATTAATATGAATTGACCAAATTATCCTTGAAATGGTGTTAATTGAAGGCATCATTTTCTTGTAATCTCCGAAATTAAAATACCTTGAGGCTTGAGCTCCACACAATAAAATACAAACATTAATATGCCCTCGTGTGTCGCGTGTTGTCATGAAAAAAATGTTTGATGACGTGGCGCAGTAATATTCTAACACGTGTACGCCTGGTCGGATTCATTGCTAGCCACAAAAACTCAACTATATGCGTGTCATAATTTATTGCAAAAAGCGTTCGTAAAAATTGAAATTAAAAACAAATTCCATAAAATATAAATGTTTTATTAAATAGTATAATAACTTTAAGGAAGAAAATATGATAAAATGCAAAAAATCATACATAAATGAATATAGTTATTATTTAATATTTTTATAAATAATATATTTATTAAATAAATATAAATCAGAAGCAATTTAAAATATTTAAAATAAATAAATAATTACACTTAAACTAATTGTGTATAAATAAAAATAACAAATCATATACTAATTGATTAATTAAGTTAATGACTTTGAATAAACCCTAGCGGTATTTTACAACATTAAAGTTAATGGTCCTATTTAAACCTTAGTTAATAAGTAAAGTAATTGCAGTAATTTTTTTTTGGCACGAATTTGTTTGGCTGCGGATTTCAATAAAAATAAATATTTTTTTATAAATAAAATATATATATAAAATTTTCTATTGGTTTTCGGTTTCAATAAAAATAAATATTTTTTATTTAAATTTTCACTAAAAATTTAAATGATTTCATAATCACAAATTTATTAGTAACACTGCATCATTTTCACTGGACTTTTTAAAATGTTTTACTCTCTCCATTTCAAAAAAATATTCATTTATTTTTTACAGGTAGTTTTAAAAATATTAGTATTATATTAGAATATAATAGGAATAAAGTAGAAATTACTAAAATAATCTTGTTAGTATATGTGATATAAAGGTAATGATATTTGTGTAATATATTGTAAGTTGTAAGGGTATTTGTAATGTTATGTAAATAGTTAAGTTACTTTAAAAAAAAAATGGATACTTTGTTATAAGATGAACTAAAATGGAAAAATGAATACTTTGTTATGAGACCGATGAAGTATTAAAAAAAAATATGCTACAAATTTAGTTCATATTTGCAATATTATGTTGCATTTGTTACTTTTGTTGGGCCTTTATGTTCGGCTGCAGTTGATACAGTTTGAATTATATAAATATGTTTTGTTATGTTGTATATGAGAAATCATATCAATAATATAAAATTTAATTTTATTTATTTTTTTGTTGAATTATTGAATTTTGGCATATGAGTATATTATAAATTATATTTTTTTTATAAAAATGAATTGGATGAACAAACTCTTTATTTTTTATTTCCGTATTTGTGTGCACAATTTTGATCAACTCTACAGTCGGAGGTGTTTTTTGTAATCAAATTTTGCTCAAACTTGGTAGCTTGATCGTGACAACAAGGGCTTTATTTTGTTAGCAATAGGATTGTTCGGTGGAGCTTTGATTTTGTTAAAATTATTTACGAAAATTTAAAAGATTGTATTATCTTGATCATCAAATAAAAGTCTATAAATAAACATTACGGATGTGATTGTTTAAAGGATTTTGGGGAAAATCTACTATTTACATAAAAAAAAAAAAAAAAATCTAAAAATATCAAATCAAATATTTTTATTTTTTTAATATATTATATAAAAAATTAAATTTATATTCAAAACATCAAATCAATATTTATTTATATCACATTATACAATTATTCCAATTTAATTTTTTTACCATTCAAATTCCAATAAAAAATCCAAACCCCAAACAAACACACAAATATTTATAAGACTAAATCATAATATAAACTATTAAATTTATTCAAAATATTGAAACTTTAAAAAAATTAAAAAAAATACCAAAGTTTAGACAAGTTTCGGAAGGATTTTGAAATTTTATGAATAGTTAGAAGTTAGCAAGTAATGATATGCTTTGTGTTTTTGCTTTTAAAAAAAGAAAAAAAAAAAAGAAAAAATGAAGTGAAATACAAAAAATATGTAAATAATATAAAAATAACGAATATTTGTAGTATATTAATTTTTGAAAAATATGTTAAAAATATTTTGAAAAAAAACAAAGCCGGATTTGAGTAAAATGAATTATATAAATATTTTAAAAAATATAATTTATACATTAATACAATATATATAATTTTATTCATTTTTTTAAAAAAAAGTTAATAATTCAACTTAACATATTATTTTTTATATAACTAACATAATTTTTTATATTTAACATAAAAAAAAAATATTTATAACACAAAATGAGCAAACCTTTTGTAAAAATATATATATATTTAATATGAACTTTTTAAAATGTAAATAATATCGTAGTTCAAAATTGTTATCACATAGCTTATAGGCTATATCTACGCGAATTGCGTAAAGAATATAAATATAATGAAACGTATGAGAAAAAAAATAAAAAAATTAAAAAGAATAAAATCTTTGCATTTTCGGAAAAAAGTAAAATAAAATCATCTCACAAAAATTATATTAAATCTTAATTTAATATCAAAATTATTTATTTTTTCAAATTTATCTAAAAGAAACACAATCGTTTGTGGATTTATTTTATTTTTTAATTTTTAAATAATAAAAAATTTGAATATTAATAATTATTTAATATGATATTAATATTATATTTTAAATATAAAATTAATTTATAGAGTAATATAAAATATAAAAATAATTATTTAATTTATCATTTAAAAAAAATAAAGAATAAAAATTTTATAAAAAATAAACACAATAATATGGGTGTGTGTTCTTTTGATATAAAATACATATTTTTTAAAAAATATTAATATATTATAAATATTTACTATTTTTATATTTTTTGTACAATTTTTTACTTCATATAAAAAATAACCCTTCAAATTATTTCACACAACAACAAACTTACACACATCTTTTTTCTGTTTTTTATTTATTTCATCTCATTCACATCTATTATGTCCACGTTGTGGTATGTTCGTTTGACATTCATGTCACTTTTCTTTTCTAATTTAATTTTTTTTAACTTAAATTAAATTAATTAATTAATTTAATTTTAATTTATAATTATATATATTATAGATAATTATTTTCACTAATACATTCTTGATGATCTATTATTTATATTTATTATAAATTTTCGTGTTTACTGACCTAAATGGCTAACGTGGGATGTTCTTTTTTTTTATATATATATATTGTACGCATATATTATTGTCATCTCTATTGTACACATCTACATATTAAGTTCAAAATAAATAAACAGGAAAAAAAAAAAGTGTAAAAAAAAAAATTCCTTTCTCAGCTTTTCTTCCATCTCCTAATCTTCTTTTTTCTTTTTTTAGTTATTTATTTGTTCTCATCGTAGATTTTAGTTTCAAATTTCTCAACCGTTCAGATCTACGCTTCCTCCTCCTGCGGCTTCTTCGTCTTCGTCTTCCTCTTCCTCCAATCGCGCTCGCAGACATTCTCTGTCGAATCAAATGCCTCCCACTGAAACAGAAGCCGATCCCAGGGTAACTCCCGATCTTTATCGCAGTAATTTTTGAAGATTTACAGCATTTTTACGCTATCTGTTTAACGCTGTGTCTCTGTGTACGCGGTTTTCTTTTTCAGCGATTGTCAATCAGTCCAACTACTCTGGGTACGAGGTATAGAACAAAAATGTAGCTCTGAAAATGCCGAGTTCTTTTATTTTTTGCTTTCTGTGCCTTCATTTTTGTGAAACTTGTTCTTTAGTGAATACGCCTTCGCGAATCTCGACAACTTGGAGCACTGCGTCAAGTATTTGAACAACACTCTTGTGACATTTGGCTTCACTGCTTCGCTTGATCTCTTCGCAAATGATCCCGTGAGTAGTTGTTTTTTTTTTGGTTTTAATTTCCCATTTCTTTGATTTATATTTGTACATTATCATGTCGCTCTGTTTAATGTGGAACGATAAAAATTGGTACTAGGTTTCGGTAGCTCGGACTTGCAATTGTTTGTATGCTTTGTTGCAGCAAAGACAGAGAGATATTGAGTACAGGGAATCTGCTAACGAGCAGAGACAACGGTACAGTTCTTTGTTACTAAGTGTTCATAGATTAGGTTATTAGATTTGTTGTTTTTACTACGATAGTTTGCTGTGTTGCATATTTATTTTAGTTTTTACTTTAAAAATGGTTATAAGAACATTTGGTGGTAACAGAATGTGATTGGATGTGGTTTTAAGTCTTGAAAGGATGAGAAATCTTAGAGACAAGAAAAATTTTAGAGTGATTGTTGAAATGGTTGCTGATACTTTGGCAATGGAATGAAGTTTGGTTTAACCTATACATATTGATAAGTGAGACTTTATGTGGAGAATAAATTAATTTAGTTTATGTTTGCATCTAAAGAAATGATTTATTGAGACCATGAATCTTCTTTATTGATCTTGATGAATTTCTTTCGTACATGAATTTATGTACAGATCTGTTTAGTCGATGGTAGGGGTAACTTACTAGGTAATAATTTCTATATTGATCCTTCTTAGAATTCTCTTTTTCTTAATTGTATTTTGTACTTGTAGTAGGACAGTTGAGACTAGAACAGTTTTTCGATAGCATTTTTTTACAGGTCATTACTTATCCTTTGAATTTCCGTTGCTCCAGACCTCACAATTGACCTCTTTTTTTCTTCCACGATACAATCAGTTTGTAAAAAGAATGCTTTGATACCAACTGAGCCTTTGCACCTCGACAGGAACTTCATGATCTAGCTTGAGGCTGATAAGCTTCGAAATCACCACTCTGTCCTTTCATTTCCTACGCTATGTATATTAATAAAGGTGTGTATGTGCATGCTAAAACAAGAATATACCAAGAAATAGTGTTTCCTAGACCTGGCAGCCATCAAGTTTAACTAACATACAAGCTTCTACTTCTGCTGCTCTCAAATCCAGTAAATGCTGTTTCGTAGGCAGCACTGCTGGAGAGCACCCACCCAAAATGGGAGAGGAGAAATCCTTGCTCTCATGTCCAACATTTTTTGAACTTGGCTTTCAGTATCCCCTCTTTTAGTGCTTTTTAGTTTAGCAAGATGACAGTAGGTTGTAATCTTGTAAAGTGTTGCTTGGTGTTTCTGCAAGCTATTATTTGAAGGTGACCAACTGATAAAAATGAAATGTGTTTATTGCTTTCTATAGACTCTTTTCAGATATTTCAAGATTGGAAACAAAAATTGAGAGGCTGGAAACCCAGCTATCAGCAAAAGACCGAGAAATTGCAACAATTACTAGAACGGTTTGTCCAGTCTATTTATGTTGAAAGGATTACTAAGTATGTATTTAGCATCATTATCACTAAATTGTGGCAATTGTATATAGGAAGCCAAAGCTACTGCAGCCTTCAAGGCCCAAATTGAGAAGTTGCAGCAGGAACGAGATGAATTTCAGAAGATGGTTTTGGGTAATCAGGTTTGTACGACACTAGGTCCCTGGTCATACCTAGCTACTTGTATAGCTGTATTATTATATTATTATTATTCTGATCCCATACTTGATAAACAGCAAGTGAGAACTCAGCAGATCCATGAGATGAAGAAGAAAGAAAAAGAGTATACCAAGCTACAGGTGATTGTTTCAGTACACTAATTAACCTTTTTAATGGGGATACAAAATTTTTATGATTTTGTAATTAGAGCATGTGGACAAGCATACATAGACCATCCCTTGTCTTGCAGGAGAAACTTAATCAAGTATTAATGGAGAAAAAGAAAGAGTCTAGATCAGGCATGGAAATAATGAATTTGCTACAGGTAAACATGTAATTTGCATCTCACTGTAGTAATTGTGTTACTGTGTTTCTTAGACATCCTTTTGTTTTGATAGAAAGAAGGCCGACAACGTGGGACATGGAATGGAAAGAAAACAGACAATGACTTGTACAAGAAGATTGTAAGTTCCATCATTGATTCATTAAGTTTCTCTAGTGGACTGCAGGTCACAAATTCTCATGCTATATACTCTATGCTGCTTCTAGGTAGATGCTTATGAAACAAAAAACAATGAATTGATGGCAGAGAATGCTAATCTGAGGGCATTATTACGATCAACGCAGGTACCATTCTTGATGTATGACTTAAAAGGATACTAATAGTACTTATCGTTGATTTCTTGCAAAATTTCATTACAGCATATATGCTGTTTGTTTGCATTATTATATCATTTATGTCTCCATTCTGTTAGGAATTAGAAGATATTTGAATGTTCTAAAAACATAGTTCCTTTCCCAAAGCATTTATTAAAACAATTACATGTTTCCCAAAGCAAGGCTTGCATCTATTTTACATCAGAGTGTGCTTTTCTATTACAATGTTGCCCTTGGATATGGTCGTTCTGTTTTCTTCATCGTTGTGCCTATGACCTTATGGTGTATGAGCTACATGCTGTTTTTTGTTCAGAGACTGAGGAAGCTTCTGTGAGTAACATAGTAAGTATATTATGATGTGTCTTTCATGTTAGGCTGATATGCGTGAATTCTTGAATGCTCCAAATGGGAAGCAGTCTTCTCCTGCTGATAATAGGCAGGATGGTGACGTGTCACAGTCCCCCCTGGGTGGGAAGACGGTATGTCAAAGTAGGAGACCCAAGTGAATTATATTTGAAAGTCTAAACTTTCCTATTGTATAATGGATTCCTTCTCTCCTAACAGGACATGTTTGATCTTCCTCTGCACATGGCTAGAGATCAAATTGAAGAAAGCTTGCGCACAAAGATGACTTCTATAAAGGTAAAACTGAGAGTTTGAGCTAAATTAGATTTATGCTGATGCTGAATGAATCAATTTAATGTAATTTCATTGGAAAGTAACAATCTAACTTCTGAATACATTATGCTATTTCAATGCGAAGGAGAGAATGTTTCAGCTTCAAGACGCCCAAAAGGGTGCTGAATTGACTTCCGATGTGACTGAGAGAGAACTTGAGCTGGAAGCTCAACTTGTAGAGGCAAGAACTATTATTCAAGAGCAGGTAATCAAATTGTTCTAGCTCCGAAACTCCGCAATAGATGGTTTTTCTTTACCTCTTCCATGAATGAACTAATTAATTGATTGCATATTCATTAGGGGAGTAATCTTCCATTAGTTTTTACTAACATACGATTTCTTTTTCCTTCATTTGGTTCACTTCCAGCAAGCTGTGTTCTCTTCCTGAATCTCTCTCTCTCTCTCTCTCTCTTAAACCGATTTTTTTAATATTAGTTTTCCTTTTTAATTGTATTCAGTTAATTAGTAGGGTCAGTAATCAGTACATTTAGGGGACTAGTGAAGTCACTGAATTAGTGTAGATGTTCTTTCTTTCAACTTTTATCATATATATATTTTCTGTAAACAGAAAAAATAGAGAAAAATTCCTTTGCCTTTTTGAACTTAGTCGCCTCTCCACATCACTCATTTGTAATTGTTAGAAGCATCTGAACTTTTGATGCTGCTGCTGGCATTTTAGCATCTGAATTTGACCTTCTGAATAACTTTACACTCCTAAATTTCAATAGCAAAATGCAATTTATTATCTCGATAATGTTTACATGTTGATTAAATTTCCTCCTTAATTCAGGCATCAATAATGTCCAAACATATTGCCAAGCCTGATAAGCCGAGGTACGTTTCCCCTAATCTTTTCCTTAATTCCATAATGTACTCTTTGTTAGTTGATAAAAAACGAAAGACTGATTTTAATTTCGATTTTCTACTTAACAGAAGACTAAGTTGCCATATGACTCCAGACAGGGATTGAGTGAGTATGTTCTCACACCATTAGAGGTATTCGACAAACTTCACTTCTTTTATTTAAGTACATTCCTATTACACCCGGGAGTAAAAATTATGCAATAAAATTGGTGTAGAACACTTTGATGGCTTTCTTTTTTGCCGTGCAGGGGTCAGTAATTCACCGATCGATGTAGTAGCTAGTCTGTGATCTTTGTTTGCTACGACGAGCATCGTTCTGCTCTGTCCTAACGTATCATCAATTTATCCAAGTTGTCGGAAGGCCCGAAAACTCTCCTAGTAGCTGTGTCTCCCTTTGTTGCAATGGTAAGTTTGTGTATATGCCCCTAATTCACAATACTTTATTTCTTAGTGTCGGTTGCATTTTGTCGAAGTATTTGTTCCATAGACTACTGCTGCCCCATGTGTTCTATTTGTGCTTTCTCTGTAGCACAAAGTTATGGTTATGGTAGGTTATGATGTTGCTGCCCCCATTACCTTTCTTTAATTTAGGTATGCTAATATTATTTAAATTTTTAGAAAAATAGGTTGATAAGATTTAGTGAAAAATATGAGTTTTAGATTAGGTTGGTGACAGCAGATTAAATATAGATTAACAGAATATGGAATATAAATCAACAGCATAATGCTGATGTTTAATAGACAACATACAACAATGGTTCACATAGTACATACAGTTTGATTTTAGCACGATAAATATATTTGTATTGCTTATATAATGTATAAATTATTATTATTATTATTATTATTATATGTACAAATTAGAGTTAATTAACACTTTGTTGATTAGTTTAATCATTTATCTATTTAGATCATTCCCTCGAGACTATGTTAAATTATATTAGGTGGGTTGTGTTCACTTTTTGTTTTTTGTTTTCTTTTTTTATTTTATTTTATTTTTTTATGTTAGTTATAAAAATTTGCATCGGTTAATAAAAAAAAATATATATTAATTTTTTGAGTGAATAATATATATATACTGCATTTGTCCCATTTCTATTTTTGTTTGTGGCACTTCAATTGACACGTTTTATTTTTAATAAATATAAATTAATTTAATTAATATAATAACATATTTCCTCCGTCCTAAACATCATGTAACATTTTCTTTTTGGTACGTCTCAAACACCTTTTTAAAATAGGAAATAATTAATTATATTTAATCTCTATTCTACATTCTATCCCCTCACGTCATCCAAATAAAAAAATAAAATATATATTTCTTTTTCCATCACATTATCTAATTTTTAAATTATCCTACTTAATACTATCCGCCTAAAAATTCGCCATGTTTGGGACGGAGGGAGTATAACATAATATACTATGAAAATTTACTCAAAATTTTTTTTATTTCTATTTTTCTTCTTAACAAACAAATATTTTTATTTATATTTAAAATTTTTATTATTTTATAAAATTAATTTTATCTTAATTATAAGTAACTAAATACTCCCTCTCCACCGCCTATCTATTCGTTTATTTTTTCACATAGATTTTAGTATATTAGTATTATATTGATATGTGGTATAATTGATATACATAAAGACTATTATACTCCTTAATATTTATGGTATTAAGTGGTGTTATTTGATGATATTTGTGTAATATTATATAAAGGGTGAGGTAATTTTATATTTTAGTGGAAGGTACATATACTAACAAATAGGTAGATTGGCGGTGTTATTTTGTTTATTTTGTATTATTTAAAATTTTATTTTTTACAAAATAATATTCATATTGCATAATTTTATTGAGATATAATATTTAAAATATTTAAATATGTATTCTATATTTATTTTAATCATATATATTCAAACTACCAATAATATTACTCATATAAAAATATAATAAATAATATCGTAACATAGTATTATTAACTCAACTCATTTATTTTAAATATTGTGTCCCATTTGATTTGAGACGGAGGAGTATTATATAGTGTTAATGTGTGAAAATGATATTATCTCTTCCCGTCAAATTTATTATCATTTTTTTTTGTCCATCAATTAAATTTATACGCTATTAATTTTGATAAAATCAATAATTTAATATTTAATAATTAATTTTAATTCAATATTTATCTACAATAAATAATTTTATCTTTATTATTTTTCTCTTATTTTTTAAAGTTATAATTAAATTTTTAAAAATATTTTTGACTACTTTTTTATTTTTATATTTCTTTTAAAAAAATATTTATATTTCTTAATATAAATATTAGGGTAAATTGTTGGGAAAAGCATGTGAATCGCTGAGTGAGTCGGTCAGTCAGTTCATGAGTCACCATCTTATCTGAAAAGGTGTTCTACTTGAGGACAAAGGATATTCCTTTCCATCGATGTCGCCCATAATCATCGTCACTACCACCTACCTTATTCATAATTAAATAAATATTCAATGACATTTACTCCCTCCGTCTCAGATATCGTGTCTGCTGCACTGTAGACACGGTATTTTAGAATGAATGTAATTAGTAGATAATTAAGAATATTTTAGTAAAAATTATTTTATAATATAAATAATTATAAATTAAAATAAGATAACTAATTAGTTTAATTAAAATTAAAAAATTTAAAATGAGATTGAAGTGTATAATCATTTTCCAAAAATGAAAAATGACATGGTATGTGAGACGGATAGAAACGACAACATGGACATATACATGGGATGGAGGGAGTAACTAAATGTTAGAAATACTAGTATGGAATTCAATTGAATTTGTTATTTTGTTAACTATTTGATCTACGCTCGTGCGTGCATAAAAAATCATTTTAAATTTTTATCATTTTTAAACCATCTAACCAACCCCACACTTGAGTGTCTTTGTTTGTAGGTTTTGAAGTTGTGTTTGTAAGGTTTTGAATTAAAATATTTAATTATAATGTAAATAAATATTGATATGACAACATAAATAGGCACTTTCTTCGATTCTTAATAATTATTTGTTTTTCTATTTTAATCTATTCGATAACAAAATATTTATTTTATTTTTTATTTTATTTTAATATAATATTAATATTTTCAAAATTTTGTGCGATTAAATAAATGGATACATAAAAAATGGGAAGAAACAAGTCTAGAATGTCCTGTTTCTTTATGATACATGTGTGTTTAGGAGTGACCCCTACACAGCCATTGACACGTGGCGAAGTAAGAAGATAGGACCAAAGTTGCTGGAACTCTCGCATCGACATACATTATATTTAGTTTTTTGAGTTTTTGTAATAAATTAAAAAATAATACTTCCTCCGTCCCACATGTCATGTTTATGTTGCCATTTCTATTCATCCCACATACCATGTCATTTTTTTTTTTGAAAAATGATTATACATTTTAATTTAATTTTAAATTTTTTAATTTTAATTTCTTTAAATTTTAATTAAATTAATTAGTTATCTTAATCTTAATTTATAATTATTTATATTATAGGATAATTATTTTCACTTACATTCTTAATTATCTACTAATTACACTCCTCCTAAAATACCGTGTCTACAGTGTAGCAGACACGATATCTGGGACGGAGGAAGTATTGTTTATAAAACTTTTTTTTTTTTAATCATTTTTATGTTCATTTTATATTTTAATATATTATATAAAAATATGCTTATTTTATTTTTTAGCTTGTCTAACAAAATGTTTTCATATTATATCTAGTATTAAAAAATAAAATAAAATCAGATTGCACGTACACATATTCTGTAAACTTACTTTTTTTTTTTACATATATTTATTTGTTAATATATTTTAAAAAGTATTTATTCAAAAATTTATTTAATTAAAAAATGGGCCAGGCCAAGCACGGTCTGATTTCTCACCATGTCGGACGCCATAAAACTTTTTGGATCTATTTTTTAAGACAAAGTGCGGGTTTATTAAAAGAAATATATTAAATCAAATATTTTTTTTTATATTATATTAAAAATTAAATTTACATTCAAAATATTAGATCAAAATATATTTATATCACATTAATTATTCAAACAAAAAACGTTTATTATTCAAATTAAAAAAAACAACTCCAAACCCTCTAACAACACACCTATAAGGACATAAAATTATAAAATACTATATCCGGCTACTCACAAAAAGTATATATTTTTTCTATTTTAGGTTATCTAATTACAAAATAATTATTTCAAAACTGTTTAATTTGTTCACAAATACTCTTATTTTACAGTCACAATCATTACTTTTACACTATAAATAGATGAATAAAGTATTTAATATTCCCTTCCTCCGTCCAACATAAAATGTCTATTTTTTTCATTTTTTTCCGTCTCATATAATTTGTTCATTTTTATGAAAAATAATTATATACTTTAATCATATTTTAAAATTTATAATTTATATTTTTTTGAATTTTAATTTAACTATTTAGTTATCTTAATTTATAATTATTCGTATTACTTCTTCCGTCCACGTTGCATGTCTGGATTACCTGAGTATAATTACTAGATAATTAATAAAATAATAATTTATTCTATAATATAAAATATTATAAATTAAAATTAAGATAACTAATTAATTTAATTTCAAAAAATTAATAATAAATTTTACTAATTATTTTTTAATTATTCAACAATTCTCCTCATTTGGACAGTTTTCATTTGGCCGGACGGAGTAGTAGATCTATGTGTGTTTTAAAACATGTCTATTAATTAATTTATTATTGTGATAATTATTACCCCTAGAAATTGAAATTTTTAAAACATGTCTATTAATTAATTTATTATTGTCTAGAAATTGAAATTTATAAATAGCCACATGACCCTAGAGTTATCCGTATTGCAAATAAAATAAAAATTTCATAGACAGATCTGCCGATGCCGACTTCCGACAACTACGCCTCCTACCCTCCCTCCTACCGCCCAAGTCCCGGCGCGGCGGGTCCCGGACCCGACGCCGTTTCTTGCACGTCCGCCGCCGCCGGTCTACCGGTGGTGGACTTGAAGGGCCTGGACCAGGAGAGGCTGGTCGAGGCGTGCGAGGACTGGGGCATCTTCAGATTGGTGAACCATGGGATTCCCAGGGAGCTGCTCAGCGAGGTCCTGGAGCTCGCGAACGAGTTCTTCTCACGGGGGTTTGAGTGGAAGCAGGCGCTGAAGAGAAAGGCGATGTTCTATTTCTGGGGCAGCCCGTCGCTGTCCCAGTCCGGGACCTCCAAACAGACGGGACCTTTTGTCGAGAGCCAGAACTGGCTCGAAGGTCTTAATTTTCCCCTCTCTGAATCTTCTTCTTCTTTGGAATATGATCTTCCTCTGCTTCAAAGATTCAGGTATTATATATATATATATATATATATTTATAAGAGTTTGATTTTTTAGCCGAATTTTCTCAAATTTTTTTTCGAAAAAAATATATTTTTTCTTCTTATAAAATATTCTATCATATATTACTTTTTATCTAATTCAAACTAATTTTTTTTCAAACTAATAAAAAGAAACACACCATAGAATATTTTATATTTATATTTATATTTTATATGATTGTATATTTTGAGTTTTATTTTTTAATGTTGAAAAGGGCATTCCCTAGGGCTAAACAGCAATAGAGAATTGTTTAGCTATATTTTGAAATTATTTTTATAATAAAAACTAAAGATAAAAAAAAAATAATACATACAATAATTTGAATAATATATATTTTTAAAATATAATTTTTTAAATACTACTCCGTCCGTCGATCAAAATTAGTACATTTAGGTCCATAATGGGTTAAAAAAATATATTCTATTAAAAAAATGATAAAAATTAGTACATTTAAGTCCATAATGAGTTAAAAAAATATATATTATATTGAAAAAATGATAAATAATTGGGGTATTTTTGAAAATTTAGTTAAAAATTAAAATAAATAAAGAGATATAATATAATAAAGTTAACGATATTTGTTGTAAATAAGTGTTGAATATAGAATAATAATTAAATGTTGATTTGTTGACTTTGCCAAAATTAGTAATGAGATAAATTTAACAGACAGATTAAAAAGAAAAATGAGAATAAATTTGACGGAGCGGAGGGAGTGTTACATATTGGATATATTTTTCTGAATAAATTTTATTCTTTGTGATTTTGATTTTTTGTGGGGTAAATGTATTTTTAAATCCTTTGATTGTAATTTGAAATTGATTTAATTGCGAAAAAAATATATAAAAGTAAAAACTAATAAGTCAATACCAGTCTTTTTCTAAGAATATTATAAGACTAATTTTTATATAAATATTTTATAGTTAATTTTTCCAGTGCACTCTGTCTATTTTATTTTATTATAATTTCAATTGTTCTTTATAAAATATGAAGTATTAGTTTCTTAAATGTTACATTAAAATATATTGAAATTAATTTTTTAAAAAAAAATGAAATACAAGACACAAATATAACATAAAATTTAGTAAAATTGGAATATATAATATGTAGTATTATTTTGGATTTTAATTCTTGTGTGTATAATTATCATGATTTTATTTTTTTTATAAAATATTGCATTTAAACAATTATTTAATCTTTTTAGATTCTTAAAAAAAAAAATAAAATTGAATGTGTTTGTTTTGTAAAATAATTTAAAAAAATATGTTTTTATATAAAGTATAATAAATTTTATAAATTATATAAAAATAATAAATATATATAATATATTAGTTTTGTTTTTTTTAAAAATATATTAATTTGTAAAACAAGAAAAGAACACACCCAAGGAGTTCGACTCTCAAATGACTTCACATTGCTCGTTGTGTGGGATGGCTGTCTTGGGAGTTGAAGTCCCAGGCCTTCGAAAATTCTCTGGATGATATATATATATATATATATATCTATATACATCAAAGGTCGGGTTAGTTTACACGCATTTTTTCTAAATTTGATATTTCTTCCGTTCCAAAAATATTGGAGTATTAGTATAGATACGAGAATTTAAGTAAAGTATAATTAGTAAATAATTAAAAAGTGTATTAGTAAAAATAATTATTATTTAATAAAAATAATTATAAATTAAGATTAAAATAAGCAAATAGTTTAACTAAAATTAAAAAAAAATTATAAAATTTAAAATACGATTAAAATGCATAATTATATTTCTAAAAATAGAATGGACAAATTACGTGGGACGGACGAAAATAAAAAATAGGGACAAATTATGACGGAAGAAAGTATTATTTAATTTTCAAAATTTTTAATAATTTTTTTTTTCTCACAAAATATTTAATCAAATACTAATTTTAATTTTTTAAAGTGTTTATCTAACCGGCCTAACTTCTCCTTTATTTAACTATTTATTTATTTTTTGAAGCATAGCGTTACAGTAAAATTATTTATTTTGTGTGAATATTAGTATTATTTAAATGGCAAACGCAACATAGCACTGTTTGGTTGATTGATAGTTAGTTAAATCAATAAATCACATCTCTTTGTTGCCTGGACCACTTTCTTTGTTTACTTGTACTTTCACTATCTTCCTTCTAGTAATGTACTATATTATTTAAAAATAGTATTATATATTTATTTAATATTATATTTATACATTATTGTAAATAATTATTTAAATTTAAAATATTGATATTCACATACTCCAAAAACAAATCAAGCACGTATGGAACGTGTTTGGTTCTTCAATATTTTCTAAAATAATAATTTAGATGTATTTTTATAAAAAATACTTACATTATACAGTAGTAAGTAAGTATGTTTCTAGTTTTGTATTGCATTATTTTTTATTTTGTATTTATACTTTTGATAGGTGTGTAGATTAAATGTTTTTTTTTTTTTTTTTTATAATTTAGAAAATTATGTCAAAAATATATAATATATTATTTTAGATTGAATATTTGACTTTAATTATTTAAAAGTTTTCTGACTTTTGTATAATATATTTTGTATTATTTTTTATTACTATTTTTTGAGAATAATATTGAAAAAATAGTCCTGGAAGAACAGATCCGATTGTAGAAATTGATATACAATAAATACTTCAATTTTTATTTTTGTTCTCTATATTTTAACTTTACAATCTTATTATTCGTTAGATATTTGTTTAAAAATGTATTGATATTTTATCATTTTTAAAAAAATTTAAAATATTACTTCTACAAATTATTTTTAATTTAATATTTTTATTATTTTCTAAACAATTTTTTTTAAAAAAATAAAATAAAATCAAAACACTCTTATAACACATTTGATCTTCTATATGCTTTGTTCGATCAATCAAAGGTCGTTGTTGATAGAATATGGCGCCCACCAAACGAGGCTCGCACAAACGTTATTCAACGCCATGGCCAACCACCTCGCAATTCCTCTTGCAAAGTCATCCTCATACTTATCGCCGCCCACCGCCTTTCTCCGTGTCTACCGCTACCTCCGGTGTCCTGGCGCGGACCGGAGGCTAGGCATTATGGAACACACAGATAGCTCCGTCTTGACCATTCTTCACCAAGACCATGTCGGCGGCCTCCAAGTGTATAGGGACCACATGTGGCTCGACATTGACCCCGTGCCCGACACACTTATTGTCAATCTTGGAGACATGATGCAGGTAACAGTAAAATTATTATATTTAATCAATAAACTTATATATATTCATTATGAAATTATATTTTTATTGAGCTAATGTTACTATTTTTTTTTTCTCAATACTTGAAAATTCAATACAATTATAATTTTTAATTATAAATTATAATTTTATCGAATAATATTACTACTTTATATATTTTTTTCAATATTCTTGAAAATTTACTAATTCCAGAGACATGGTATAAATTAAGATAAAATAGTTTATACTACTAGTCAAAATAATTATACTCTTTATGTTCCGTCGCAAGATTGTCATTTAGTTTTTATATTATTGTACTTATATTAGATTTTTTTTTTCTTAATTTGTATTACGTATTGATATACTAATTAATATTAAAAAATCAACATACAAAAAGTCAATGATAACTTTGCAGCAAGACGGAAAGAGTATATTTTTTTGTGAAACTATAATTTTATCAAACAATATCACTATTTTCTTTTTTTTTTTTTTTTTTTTAATATTCTCGAAAATTACTAACCTTAGAGACATAATGAAAATAACAATAAGGTGATTATATCGTTCAATAAAATTCTATATTTTTTCAATCGTGAAACTGCAAATTTTTTCAAGCAATATTACTATCTAAAATCTTCTATATACATATAAAAATTAATATTTTCTCGAACATATGATCCACTTCAACAATAAAATTATGTATTTCCATCGTAGAACTATAATAATTTTATCGAGCAACATTGCTATTTTATTTTTCCAATATCCTTGAGAATTCACTAATCATCCGATTACGAATTAATGCGTGTCGAAATTAAACAGGCAATGAGCAATGACAGGTACCGAAGCATAAAGCATCGTGTTCGGGTTAGCGAGTCACAAGAGAGGATATCGGTCGGCTACTTTGTGTTCCCGGCCGAGGATGCAATAATAGAAAGTTCTATGTATCGACCTTTCACTTATACGGAGTTTCAAGACAAGAAGGCCGCCGACTTGAAGATAGTAGGCGACAAGGTCGGCCTTCCTAGATTTAGGATTCATCAATATGCATGAGATTTTATGAAATTTGTGGTTTTAACCGTAATGATTTGTTCGTTTTTGCAAGTGAAGCTTATTAGTAATATAAAAATAATATTCTATTCGTCCGGCTAAAAGTATTATATATATTCTATTTGTTCTTTAACAATCTATTTATTTTTTTATTTTGATCCGTCTCATTATAAAGTATTTATTTTTTTTAGTAACCGTACTTTCTACTAACATTAAAAATATTTTTACAACTTATAATATATTAGACAAATGTCATTATTACATTTATATCACGCAATATTAATAAAGTTATTTTAATCTTTTATACTTTATTTATACCAAACATCAATATAATACTAATATTTCTAAAATTTTGTGGAAAAAACAAACAGATACATAAGTAAGGGACGGACGGAGTATTTTTTGCGTTGATTTTTGAATATTAAGTATCATATCAAAACTTAATTCAAATTAAAAAAATAAATAAAAAAAAATATTTTTATCAGTATCTTATAATATTAATGTAATGATATTTATTTAAAAAATTCTACAAATACAAAAATATATTTAATGTTAAAAACTATAATCTCAAATGCAAATGCATAATTGACGATAATAAAGGTAGTATTAATATTTGATAATTTTTCTATTATAAATGCTGGAGTTGTTATTTAAAATTATTTCAAAATAATATATTTATTTAAATTTATTTAAATAATATTTTGATATAATACTTTTTAAAAACAAAATAACGGAGTATATCTGTATTAAAAATTACACAAGTAAATAATACTACTATTATTTTTTAATTTGAAATTACAGAAAAGCACACTCGGAAATATAGGTACATTATAAATTGATAAGTGCAAAATGGTAAAAGAACAGGAGAACTGCTAATGGCGGCAAAACTATGTGAAAATGGCGCGAAACCCTAAAAGACACTCGGAAAAAACATTTAAAAAGACACGTCGCCGACTCCGTTATTTTATTCGTTTCGCAGCGACGGCGACTAGGGCAGAGAAAATGATGTTCGAGAGTAGCCAATACGACACGGCGGCCGGCGGGGGCGGTTTCGTCTCCTCGCAGTCTGCCGATCCGTCTCCTACACCTGCCAAGGTAATTTCTGTCGTTAAATTTAATTAGAAGTTAGTAGTCGAATGATTGGGATGAATTAGCGGTTCCTCCTTGTTTCCCCTGATGGATTTATATAATTTCGGATATGCGAGTAGAGTCGGGATAATCAGCCGATGTGTCCGGTGACGGTGAAGCAAATAGTCGAAGCGACTCCGTCGGCCGACGACAAGTCGAATTTCGTCATCGACGGCGTTGATGTGTACAATGTGAGTTTCTTCAATTACCAAAATATTGTCGCTATTTTCGTATTTGTTTTCAGTTTGTGAAGAAATTGAAATGATTAGACTGCTTTTTAGGAGCACAATGTTTAAATTCATCGAGAATCATCTTCTAGTTTTAGTGTTGTTTTAGTAAGGATCAAACTGGATTTAATGTTCCGAGATTCCAATATACTCGTCTAAGAAAACCCTATATAAACGCAAATTTTATTCATCAGATTGAATACTTCCATACTTATCAGGAATTGGGGGAATATCTCCAATCATATTGTATATAACTGTAAATGTAAAGATTAGGGCTAAATTCAGCCAATTTCTGGAAGTTTCAATAAAGTTTAAAATGTAACCATCTCTGAGTTTAGTCTACATCTCATTGCAGGTGAAATTGATTGGAATGGTGTATGAAAAATCAGGAAGGGTTACTGATGTTTCTTTTGTGCTTGATGATGGCACTGGCCGCATTACCTGTCACAGATGGTTTGTCGTCCTTCCTCCGTGTGTTGTGTATACATTTAGTTATCCACGCCATGTCTATCTGTTTGTTATTTGCTTATTATTCTTATCCATGGTGTAATGGCACTAAATGCATCTGTTCATTTCAACAGGGTAAATGATGCACAGGACACCAAGGAAGTGGAAGGATTAATGTAAATTTCTCAACCTTGGATATCTTATATTTCGACGTGATTAAACTTAAGTGTGTTAAGAACAATTTATAATCCAAATCAGGGATGGCATTTATGTACGAGTTCATGGACATTTGAGGACTTTCAAAGGGAATAAGCAATTAGAGGTTTATGCAATCAGGTGATTTGTTACTTTGTTACTTCCCAACAATTTCATTGATAATTTCCCAATCTCTGATATAAATTGCAGCAGCACTTAAATAGTCAAATTCCCTGCAACTTTAGATAATGTTCTAGTTGTTCATTTCCCATCACACTCACCACTAGAGTCAAGCTTCTTCTTGATCTTTTTTCGAAGGATAACATCTTATTAGTCAAAGAACATTAACAAATTTCTAATATTTTGAGTGCAAGATAGAGTTTTGCTATTTACGAATACCGGCACCATGTCTTTCATCTATCCATTTGCATTTTATGATTCTGCCTCTTCAACCCCATCATTCATATAAGATAAAGTTTCATTTTTCTCAGTGTTTGTAATCCGAAGACTTACATAGATGGGTTGAATAGCTATTCCCAAACCTTCTCTGTTCTGTCTTTTAACAATAGATTGATTGTGGTATGTTTGCTTTTCTTGTATCCTTTTAGGCACACCCAAATCTGCACTTGCATATAAATTATTTTTCGTGTTTCCTTATTGAATTTGAGTGCCGTCATGTTCAGGAATGTGACTGATTACAATGAGGTTGCAAGCCATTTCCTCGAATGCATATACAACCACTTCATGCATACTAAAGCACAGGTATTTAGTTTATCTGTATACATTCTCTCATACAAATTCATGTCCAAATTGAAATTTCTAATTCTAATTCTGTCGACAATACAGAGCAATGGAACCACTTCTGCTCCTGCACCAACCCCATCGACTGCCAGCACTCCCATTACATCACACCCTGCTATACCATCTACCCAAGTTAGTTCACCACAACATATGATGCATCCCAATGTTTCGACTCTCCCATCACTTAATCATTTGTATGTTTCCATTCAGCTGTCTCAAGAGTACAATTTGGAAGGGCTAGGGAACATCGACAAGATGATCATCGACTATCTTGAACAGCCTTCCTCCCTGTAAGTCATCTGCATTGTTTAAATGTTTCCTCGAGAAATTATTCGATTGCCATACATTGTATATAAATTTCTGTTTTCAGGGCACAAGAAAAGGGTGTCCATCGAAATGAAATTGCACAGAAGCTAAAAATTTCCCAGGAGAAACTGATGTATGCACTTCTTTTCTGTTGTTTTACATTTTCTCAGTGTTCTCTCTTTTAGTTATTTATGTATTATAATTATTTTTTTAAAATGACAGGGAAGCAATGGAAACTCTTGAATCAGAGGGGCTGGTGTATTCAACAATCGATGAATTTCACTATAAGTCTACTTCCTCTTAGTTCTTTTATTATTCTATTTTACTGCTTTCTTTAGTTCTACTGCTACTTGACTTAAATATTATGCTAGGAATGATACAAATTGTCGTATTTTGGATCGTATTCTAGTTTTTAAAATTTTTAGGTTGTGTTATTCAATGTTATTAGAAATTTTTTAAAAATCATCTAACAAAATATATGATATAAATTATCACTATGATATTGAACTGTGTGGTTATAGTGTAAATAGTTGAATCTTAATGTAAATATATATAATGACATTGTAAACTTGTTGATTGCTTAATTAATTACATCACAATTAGTTTAATTAGTATTGTAACCGCCACAAAATTACTATATTTTTGTAAATGGAATTTGAAGTGAGAATGTATAATTGATTTACGTTATAATATAGAAGAAAAAAATAAATCAATATTTTTTATGAAAATAAGTAATTATAAATAGTTAAAATTTCTTAATAAACACAGTGGGCCTATATCTTGTCAAAACTTGACCACGCCAAAATCCTTAAGCCCAAACCAAAACACAAGCTAATGAATCATTCTATGTAAAATTCCTTAAAACCCTAATTTTGAATATCCATTATTTTTATTGGCGTAGTGAATATTTACATGCATAGATTGTAGTATTTGATTTTGTATTAATTTTTTTAGAAAATATTTTACTATGTAATTTTATTATCTTTTATAATATATATATATATATATATACATTTTTAATACAGAATATTACATTAAAATTTATTAGTATGTGGTGTGGAGTGGTACAGTGGCCGTTAGGTGATTAGTGGGGACAACGGCATTAATTAATTGGCACAGCAACATCAGCTTTAGTCCCGACCAACCGCATCGCGACACGTCATTATTTAGGGCCGTAATAATTAATTAAATTAATAGGGCCTGGCTGCACCATTGCATTTCTTAATTTGACATTCCCTAGGTTGTAAGTACTCCTTTTCGATGTCTCTTTCACGTCAACTGTCACACTAATTTAAAAAAATAAATAAATAAATAAACTGTCACACTTGCCAATTAGCATTGATAATTAAATAATTATCTTCTTATTATTGCATTTAACATTATTATAAAAAATTACTATTACTATACTAAACGTAAGTCCGTAACGACGTACCCATTCCGTGAAAATTACCTGTGTCCATGTCCCATGTATTTGCACATACATAGCATGCAGTCACGTTGAATTATATATATATATTATATTTAATTATATTAGTTATTTATTTTTGTTAAATAAATTAGGGAAAAATAATATTTTACATATAACATTCAGGTGAAATATAAAATTATTTTATTAGTTGTGTGGAGATTAAATATTTACTAACTTAAAAATGAATTTGTCAAATTTGGACAAATTAAAAATAGTAAAAGATGCATAGATTGGATATAAGAAGTGGAATAAGTATGTTTACAAATTTATTGAAAAAAAAATTTGTTGGGCACTTATATGTATATATATATATATATGTTAAATTGTTTAAAATATAGTTAAAAATTAAATGTCCTTTAATGTAATTATTGAGCACATAGTTGCGTTACGTATGCGTGGGTTCCTTTATCTAAATAAATATTATAGGAAAATCGGTGTAATAAATCCTAAATAAAAATGCTATTTATAGAAAGCAAGAGTTATCCTGAAAACTGCTTCTAAACACGATCTTGTGTCTAGTTCCCTGCACCGGCTTGGCTTGGCTTGGCTTGCCAGCTGACTGAGCCTATCCAAAGCCGGTCCAATTAGATTATCTGCCCGGCCGAAACTTATTGACAAAAATGCGTTTTGCGATAATGAATGCTTTATATATATATTTAGATTTGATTTTTTAATATTATTTTAATATAGGGTACATTTTAGGTATGGTTCTTTGATAAAAAATATTTAAATTTTATTACTTAAACTTTATTTTTTTTGAAAAATAATATTTTTTTTACAAAATATCCCATCAAATATTATTCCAATATCAAATTCAATTAATTTTTTTTTAACTTAACCAAAAAAACACACCCTTAGTACTTTACTTTAAAGTTTTTATACAAGTTAGAAAAATTATATTAGTAATATAAAAAATACGTGATATTTTATATTAGATGTTATAGTTTTTTAAATATAATGTATATTATATATATCTTGTATCATTGTTTGAATGAACACATATTATTGAAAATGGCACGAGTGAATAGTAAAAAAAAAATTAGAAATGTAAACCGCTATTTTTAGTATTTTACTATATAGTCTTATTACTTTTAATAAAAAAAATACATTTATTTTAAAATAAAGATATATATATATATTTTGGTTGAAGGTTAATTTGTATAGTAGTTGAGTGTGTTATTTAATTATAAAGTAGTATGCTTTGTATGAAATTGTTAACATTTTATTTTTCGATCAATTTATTTATGTTGTTATTTTAATCTATTTTAAAATTATTTATTATTTATTTTTAGTAATTATGTTTTTCCCATAATTTATTTATTTTTTTATATATTTTATTTATTATTACAACAATATCACCATTTATATATATATAATAATAATTATTATTATAATATAATTTTTTTTATTACGTTGGAACCCGCAACTGCTACACAAAGGTATGCACTAATAAACCCTTAGCCGATATAATTATTAAAATTTTAAAATACAATTGCTCGTTTATTCATCTATTATACTATATATATATATATTAATAATTCTATTTATAAAAAAATAAATGGATAGAGATATACATATGGATAGATATTTAAAAATTAAAAAGAACAAAATTAGTATATTAATATTCAATGATTATATCATTTAAAATTCAATAAATAATTTATTATTTTTTTTAAAAAAAAAAAGAAAAGCACTCCAGGAAACACCCCATGTGTATTTAGTTATATTTAAATTTAGACATTTTAAGTGGATAATAAGAACAGAATGATGCAATATTTTACACAGTCAAGATTGTGCATATAATTTATGAGTTTTATATAATAGAATATTCTTATATTTTAATTAAAGTATCGAAAATATTATTATACTATTTTATAATTAACTCCTTGTATTTTCAATAGTATTTTATTGTATATATTTTTTTCATATTATAAATCACATATTAAAAACTAATAATATTTATTACTTTATATAACAAAAGTAAATATATATACATATAAGAAAGAAATTGAAGTTTTTTTTTTTTTCCTTTCTAATTTTATGGTTTGAGCTTTGACATTTTTGTGAAATAGACAAATAATTGTTATAGATATGATATTGTATAAAAAAAATTTAAAATAATAATAATAATAATATTTTATCAGAGAAAAAATAAATTTTATATAATAATAATAATGATTCTCCTTCCGTCCAATTTTTATTGTTCTAAAGAATATTTACACGGTTTTTTAGGTGATTGTATTTTTGTTATAAATGGACAAATTTGCCCTTAATTGTATGGTAGAGATTAAAAATAATAAATAAATAAAGAGTAAAAATATAAAATTTGTCTTAAAAAAAAAGACAATAGTTGTTGAACGTCCTAAATAACATTAGTTTATGGAGGGACGGAATAATAAAAATCAAATCAAATCAAATTCTCTCAAGTGAAATTCATCGCGACTGATACGATATATCCGATTTACTGAGGGTTCCTTTTCACAAATGAGAAGAATGTAAGGACTAATTTGCAATTCTAAGGTATTTATAGCTTGCACGCGTTGCTAATCCTTTAGCTGCTGAAATGTCGACAGCGCGTGGATACGACGTCGTAACGCCAACCGACGTCGTTTTGTCGTGTCTCATTTTCGTAGTTATGTTTTTGTTAGGCAAATGTTGCTTTCAATCCTTCATTTTTTTTTAATAATAGTTTCTTTTACTCCAACAATTTTATATTTCAATTCAAATCATTGTTAACTTTCACTAATAAAATAATAACTAATATCTATCTATAATTATAACTTTTAATAACATCTAATAATATGTTTAATAAATAAATACCTAAAAAAGCACTCTCTGTAATTTATTTAGTAATATAAAATGGAAATCAAACACACCCTAAAAATTCAAATTAAAAAAATAAAAAAAAAACCAAACAATCACATTTAGATCCCAAATATTTTGTCAAAACAATTTGAAATTTTATAAAGTTAAGGTTTGTTTGGTTTTGACTTAGTTTTAAATATGATGTATCAACTATTATTAGATAAAAGTAATTATTTTTATTAAAATCAACATTCAACTTTATTACTATTTCAATATATATATATATATATATATTATAGCTTATTCTCTCACAAAATTTAATATCATTTTTTATATTAACGATACAATTTTATATTGAATATGAATTTTATGTTAAATGTTGATTTTTATGAAAAAAATAAAATATATACATATTGTAAATACTACTGATTTTTTTTATTTTTTCTTTAAGAGAAACAAAGTTTATATGTTAGGACTGTTAAGTTTGTTAAACAAGAGTGTGAACATGCTGAAAATAAATTGTCAGTATTTTGGCATATCAAGATAATTAAAATATATAAAATTTTATTCAGAGATACTATTATAAATCAAATATCGATAAATTTTATTGAAATTGATTACACCAAATTTTATTTTCTACAATGTTGGAAAAATTGTTGTTGTTATCGTCTATATAAGGAGACACTCGCAACAAATTGGTGTATTATGCACAATCACAAATAAAAAATAAATAAAATATTAATCATCATGTACTCGAAATCTTCGAAAGCTGACTAGAAATGAAAACAAGAAGACGTTTATCGTAGATTAATTGGTTGGGTTGTGAACATTTGGTGTATAATTTACATGTTGTCGCAAAAAAATTGAAAATTAAGAAAAATATATAAGAACACAGTATTTAGTAACTCAATTTGATCGAAAATGATTTACGTATTAGAACGATCAAACCAATTATTGCACTAGTAATTTTATGGTGTTGATTGCATAAATAAAAAACATCATATATATATATATATATAAGTAAATCAAATTTTAGCATGATGGACTTAAAAAATAGACATAACAGTTAAAATCGACAATTGTACTAAAAAAAAATAATATATTTGTAACGGAATTACGTCCCTAAAGTTCACGTAGCTAACGTAATTCCATTACTAATTCCTGTCTCTAATATCATT